CTCCTGATAAGTAGAACTGAATAAGTAGCAAATTTCCTAAACTCTGTCCCATGGGTTAGTGAAACCTCCTTTTGTCTAGACCTTCATATTTCGGTCTACAGTATCCAGTTGTCCAGGGAATGGAATGGTATTTCATCATCAATCAGTGCTCATAATCAGTGTGTTATAGCCAATCATTTGCTTGGTATTAGTCTCTTCCATAACATGCCCATTACCTACTTTGATTCATAACAGGAATATTTTTGTCGGTATTTCAAAACTGAAAACGTCTTTGCTGCTTGGATATGAATTGTGTGCTTAAAAGAAATCCACAAAATATTAACTTTTCTTCCTGAATGTTTCAACTTTGAATTATTCCCTGAAGATAGAGTTGAAACATACAGAATGGAGGTTTGTGTTGTTTCATTGTTTTGTGGATTTCTTTACATATGTCCATTTTGAGTCCATTTCTAGATTGGTCCATTAAAGTACAGTCTAGATTGGGTAGTGTTGTGATCTGACATTAAAGGAGATCCTGTACAGTCTAGATTGGGTAGTGCTGTGATCTGACATTAAAGGAGATCCTGTACAGTCTAGATTGGGTAGTGTTGTGATCTGACATTAAAGGAGATCCTGTACAGTCTAGATTGGGTAGTGTTGTGATCTGACATTAAAGGAGATCCTGTACAGTCTAGATTGGGTAGTGTTGTGATCTGACATTAAAGGAGATCCTGTACAGTCTAGATTGGGTAGTGTTGTGATCTGATTGGGTTAAATTAAAGAGATCCTGTACAGTCTAGATTGGGTAGTGTTGTGATCTGACATTAAAGGAGATCCTGTACAGTCTAGATTGGGTAGTGATGTGATCTGACATTAAAGGAGATCCTGTACAGTCTAGTCTAGATTGGGTAGTGATGTGATCTGACATTAAAGGAGAGACAGTCTAGATTGGGTAGTGTTGTATCAGTCTAGATTAGATTGTAGTGATTGTGATCTGACATTAAAGGAGATCCTGTACAGTCTAGATTGGGTAGTGTTGTGATCTGACATTAAAGGAGATCCTGTACAGTCTAGATTGGGTAGTGTTGTGATCTGATCTGACATTAAAGGAGATCCTGTACAGTCTAGATTGGGTAGTGTTGTAGATCTGACATTAAAGGAGATCCTGTACAGTCTAGAGTTGGGTAGTGTACAGTCTAGATTGGGTAGTCTGACATTAAAGGAGATCCTGTACAGTCTAGATTGGGTAGTTGTGATCTGTTAAAGGATCCTGACAGTCTAGATTGGGTAGTGTTGTGATCTGACATTAAAGGAGATCCTGTACAGTCTAGATTGGGTAGTGTTGTGATCTGACATTAAAGGAGATCCTGTACAGTCTAGATTGGGTAGTGTTGTGATCTGACATTAAAGGAGATCCTGTACAGTCTATTGGGTAGTGTTGTGATCTGACATTAAAGGAGATCCTGTACAGTCTAGATTGGGTAGTGTTGTGATCTGACATTAAAGGAGATCCTGTACAGTCTAGATTGGGTAGTGTTGTGATCTGACATTAAAGGAGATCCTGTACAGTCTAGATTGGGTAGTGTTGTGATCTGACATTAAAGGAGATCCTGTACAGTCTAGATTGGGTAGTGCTGTGATCTGACATTAAAGGAGATCCTGTACAGTCTAGATTGGGTAGTGTTGTGAGCACCAACTTGGGTCATCTCAAGGTGACACCTTAAGCCCCTACCAGATAAACTGGTCGACCTCCCCCTAATACCAGATTGTTAAAATAATCAACCTACAAATATGTTTATCCTGACATGAACACATGTAGTGACAAACAAACTTACATTTAAAGCTTAATTCCACCTTTTGCATCATGTCTTTCATTCTCTCAAATTAAAACATTACAATGGAGTGTTTCAAAGTGGAGTGGTTTCAAAGGTTATCAAAATAATAAAGTACAATGTTAAACATCAAAACATTATCATTAGCATCAATAAGCATTATAACCAACATCTTATTATCATAATAGAGACATTATCTCAATATGGAGTAAGGGAGGTAACTCTTCAAATCCCATCACATTTGCAACAGCCAGGGAAATGTATATGGAAGATGTATCAAAACATCTTATTTCAAATCTTCAAATACTTACATGTTTGTGTTTTGATATAACGCATCAGGATCACCTATACCGTCATACAAATTCAAAAACTGTTTTTTAAGCCCATTGACTTATTGTTAATCATCGGACCGTCTTCCTAAATCTAAATAAAATAGATTTTAGATTTTTTTACCAATCATAAGACATTGCTAATAATTCAAATATATTACATACCACACCTTAATACAACAAATCTATTAACCTGTTAATATACATAATTACTTCAATGATATTCCATGTAATATCATGATATAAAATATACAACATGACAATAACACTACATCCATAGAAAATGACATAACTGACCCCAAAAAAATTCTGATTTGGAATCAGTTCACTAACGAACTATCCCATCCTTTTCTCTAGCTGTGATGCCACTTAACCACGTTGAAATAAATCATTAACTTCTGGCCATCGATTGTGGGCATTTCTAGCCATTTCGATCAGCAGGCTTCCAAACACTGCCACAGACGATGTTGCAATATTTTTGGCTGCGTCGGCAATATCTTGGCCGTCACTGGGGAGGTGTGCACAGACTCATACCACACGGTGGCTGCGGATTAATAGACTGCTCTTCTACTGACTTAATCAATAAAGGGCCCAGTAGTTGACCCATTTAGTCAAGGAGAGACAGCCATGTGGACCACACAATTCCATAAGAAAATGTACCTACGTGGACTTTATCAACATCTATTCAGGTCAAAGCAAACTAATATTCTATTTCATCTCACAAATGACCATCGCATTCTTCGAAGCACCATCTCTACCACTTCCGAAATCCAAATCAAATTTTATCTCAAAATCTTTAGTATATTTGAATTTAATTTATTTCCTTTTTTAAGTAGCTGTTAATAACAAGAAGACTGCTGATGAGTAAGCTCTCACTATTAAATATGTGATTCTTATTAAGTATATCAATGTATATTAATTTGTATATGAATGGATCATGTGGGCAGACAAATTACACATTAAAGTAATTCTTCATTCTAATTTATGTATAAAAAATGTCCTTCTTGTATCATGTCTTGCATCAACATGATCAATACAATAATCAGATGGTGATACAAAGCATTATGACCCCTGATGCTATTTTTCTGACCAAGCTGCCGTGTGATAATGGGTTTGATTGGTTGTTTAGCTGTTGTTTAACACCGCACTCAGCAATATTCCAGTCATATAGCAGCAGTCTGTATAAAATCGAGTCTTGACCAGACAATCCAGTGATTGTTTAACAAACAATCATAGTTTCAAATCGCTATTATTGGTTTGTATTACAAGGGGTACGCGCAGTAGTTGAAACAGTGAAACAAATGCATGTGCGGTGCATGATGAGTGTTATCTTAGACTACCGTAGAAACTGACTCTTCTTGTTCTTGGGGTTTCATTTAATGTGCATACCCCCTTGTAATACAAACCAATAATAACGGTTTGAAACTATGATCATTTGTTAAACAACTTTTATCCTAAGTTGAATAAAATTCTGAGATTTTTATGTTCAATTGGCAAGGTAAAGTTATGAGGATTCGCAATCTTAATTTCACTTTAGTTGATTTACTTTTTTTTTTAAGTGAAATTCATTGGTATGTTTTCAGTGCAAACAGACTATAACTACACCATTCATTGTCTGGTGTGCAGCAGTATGGTACTAGTTTACCAATAAGCAGATACAGGCATACCTTAGTACTTACATAGCAATAACTAGGACTGTTCTATTTAAGAGCAGGGGTGACAGGATGTGATAATAACAGACAACACTTGATCCTCCTATAAACAGTTGGCATGTGTACGGTTATGCACACGTGTGCAACAATGTCAACATAGTGCATTATACGACGACAGAGTGCTATGCCAATAAAAACCGTAACTCGGCAACACAATATTGTAAACCTCCAAGACAAAACTGCCAGCAAAGATGGTGTGCTGCTCTATGTATAGATCCACATTTGAAAAAAATCAACCCTGTATATACGTTTGTGTCAGCCTTAAGATATTTACAATAGTTATCCATAACTCATGCTTTTCAGATGCAACACTGTGTCAAAACGATTGGTTATAACATGTCAAAAGGATAGGATTTTGTTCTTATATCCTCCACTGTGAATCTAAACATTTGCAAATGTCAAAATATTCATAGATGCTGGTATGAACGCATTCATATCTGCATGAGCAATATTACCAAGAGTGAGCGTGACATTTTGCGCCAGAACTCTCTACTATATGGAATTTAATAAAAAAAACGATTGCAAAATTAAATAATAACATAAAATCAGTTTTGGTGACGGACTTCTCACAGTGTATGAGTCAAAGTAGAGTCATGACTGATTCATCTGTATTGACTGTAATATATCACATTCTAAAGTCGCCGATGTAAACATTACACGTGTGATTGAATGATTACCCACAAACAAATTAATTATAACAGCGGTGACGGAGTTGAGTATGTTCTCAGTGTGACAACAAACGCTGTTTTCCACAGAGTTATTTTAGCTACCACGTCCGTTCACCTGGTATCCTGTTGACAGACCGGAATATCTTTAAATTGCTGTAATTAACACGCAAACAGTACTGGTGCAAAACTAGGAAACGATCGGTGCACACACCAATATGGAAGCAGACAATCGATCTCCTGCAGCCAAACATGGGGTATAATATTATTTATCAAACAGACGCCATTGGTGTGTGGTATTTTGTATATATCACCCCACACGTGCGAACAGCGCTGAGAACAACATACTTGAAGCACGCTAGCCTTTGAGCTGTATATAGAGCGCGCTTCCGCGCATGTTAACACCACTGTATTTAAATAATCAACAGAGATCTACGGGTCAGGTTCACAAGACAGAAAAAAAATTCTCTCTTCTAACCCTACCTTGACTTTTACTCTTCCTGGGCATAACGCTTCGTAGTCTGTCGATTTTTTTGGTCACGTTCACCCTCCCAAAGACTGCGTGACCTCCATGTTGAACGATGGAGCAAATATAGTCACGTGACTAAATCTCTGAAGTGGATTGGCTGTAATCTTCAACGTGTAAATTGGCGGTAAAACAAAGCTGCACAAAAGTAGCAAGTAGTATTGCCCCGGGGGCACTGTTATCAGCCCGTGGTTTGCATTTCATAGCTTTTGTTTAGTCAAGGCCGCACTTACTCTGATTTCTTCAAAGGATTTCTACATGATACTGATACCCATGGTGGACAATCTTTTAAAAACCTTTGACTTGTGAAATAAACAATTTTTTATATTTTAAATCAGACACCATAGTTCGGTGTCTGTTCAAATGTACAAATTTCGCTGAAGGGGTCGTTGTCGGCACGGGTACTAAATATATGTACCGCAGGTACGTTTCTGGCCATACGTACCCTGGCCATAATGAGAATACAGAAACGTACCCTAGGACGATTCCATTCCCATTCTTGATCGGAACTGTCATGTTGTTGTATTAGATACATTTGATTGCGTTATGGAAGTAATGAGAATACACAGTAACGGATATTTCGCGATGCATATGAATACCACTCGCAATCAGTTGAACAGGAACAACTACATACGGTTTCGGGTTTGGACTGCGGAATATGGACTCGTCCGACTTTTAGGGTACCGGGTACGTTTCTGTATTTTGACTTTGTTTAGGGTACATATCTGTATACAAAAACGTACCTGGGGTACGTATCTGTAGTACCTGTGCCGACAACGACCCCTTCATAAAACGATAGAATAATTTTGAACCACTAATAACAGCTGTTATAGCACAATTGTCTCCAAGATATACGTCTATTTAATAGATTTAATCGAAACTATGTCTTCTATTAATATTTCGCTATTTCCCCCTCCGCATATGTCAGTAGGTACACCATAACTAAACGATTTGAAACATACGTGTAAAGTACGGCTCAACGTAGATGCCGGTAGTAGTGTTGAGCAGATGCACGTACCCTTTTGTTCTTGTTTCTAAGTATACACCTATTTCCCAGGTCTCTGCATATCCATACATTTCTGCACATGAACGGTTCATACGTGATTGGGTATTACGAAGCTATTAAAATCACAATTGCATGAAACTAAAGCACATATGTTACATGTGTATATGTTAACTTGTAAACCCAAACCGTGCCACACAAATGTATCCTTGCTTGTAGATAAATATATATAAACATGATATCATCAGATATCATCAACTACATGGTTATGTGGAGTTTATCGGATCCACATTCAGATAACTACACATAAGCTACTAACAGAGTATAATGGGTCTACAAGATATGGGCTGGTGATTAGGTGTCGGACTCGGAGAGTCTGGGTTCGAATCCTTACGGACATAATATAACAAGTACACGCACACGCACGCACGCACACATACACACACAAGCACACACACGTGCACATATATATAATATGTGTACGGGTATTTATTACTCACCCGTTGAAGATATCAATGTTTAATAAATCATTACCAAATCATTAACTCGTTTAATAAATATGGTATTACACGGAAGGTCGTTTAGTATCCTCTATTTCTCATCCAAAACTGTGTTCCACTGGAAATATTTTAAAACTTGAAGATTTGACATCAAAAGAATATGTCCAAGGAGATATCGTTTTGACCTCTAGTATACAATTATAGACTCTTGTAGAGGTCGATATCGGTTTTTATTGACCTGAGTAAAACAATATCGACCGAGTAATAGATTTTGTACAATGCCCTGACGTCATCAATTACATGACTCATAATGCTATAACGTCAAAAACCTGATGACATCACAATGCGATGATGTCATAAACTTGATGCTGCACTGCAAGTCTAATGGCAATACCGTGTTCAGAGATGTACATTTTTCATTGAAAACTAATGAAGAGTGATTTATTTTATGAAGAATAGAACTTTTATCGACGAGTGTTGATATATTCTTTATCAGAAGACACTTGGGTGAGATTTTCTATATATACTTACATACGGGTTACGAGAAATTATGGATTATCTTTCCCCAGCGAATCAATTCTGTAACTTTCGACCCCAGTTCCCTCATCGGGGAATGGGTGTTACAGGATATATACCCGTGTATGCAAGATTTGAAATGGTAAGTAAAACGATACAAAAAAGGATATACCGAAGGATATGCAGTGGCATGCACACATATTTTCATCATACGAAGATATGTCATGGTAGTGATACAGCTTTTTGAGAAAGGGGGTTCGGAGGTGCACACTTCATTTTCACGTGAGTTTCAATGGTCATTTAATACCCCTGCACTTTCAGGACAAACACACACTTGCACACAAAGGGGCACACCCCCTCTGGATCCGCCTTTGTAAGTTCACAGGCTTTCGATGACTGTCGAAAACCTAGTAAAACGAGTTTTGATAACGTTTGCAGTGTGTGTTTTTTTATCAAATCCAAATTACAGCTGGAAACCTTTTTTTGGGGGGGGCCGGCAGTTTATGTTATCGTCAGGCGGTGGGAGACGAAGCTTTCTGTACCTACACATATTCCCTAGTTCAGCTTAGTATAGTTTGTTTAGTTTGTCTGTTTGTTGTTTAATGCCGCACTCAGCAATATTCCAGCTATATGACGGCGGTCTGTAAATAATCGAGTCTGGGCCAGACAATCCAGTGACCAACAGCATGATCATCAATCTACGCAATTGGGATACAATGACATTTGTCAACCAAGTCAGCGAGCCTGACCATCCGATCCCGTTAGTCGCCTCTTAATGCAAGTATGGGTTGCTGGAGATAAATTCTAACCGGGATCTTCACGGGTGAAAAGAAAACATGCAGATAAGCTTACTGGTGGAAATATAAGTGACTCGTTACAATTAATGTCTAAACTTGTATTGATGAGGCTGAATGAATGAATGAATGAATAAAGACCTACTGTTATTAACGTGTGCTTCTACAACCATCCATAGAAATGAGAGGGAGTAAACACCTCAGTCTCACCCAGAGTCCACGAATTCATATCGGTCTTTATGTAACATTCCATATCCCCAATATTACATGTAACGTTAATCCGTGCTTTTTCCTTATCATATATGACCGGGGGCGGTGGGGGAAGCCAAGTGGTTAAAGCCTTCGCTCTTCACGCGGAACACCAGGGTTCGATTCCCCACATTGGTACAATGTGTAAAGTCCATTTCTGCATAGTGGCGGTTTGTCATCCGGCATGGCCGTGATATCCAGTCACCCTACACCCAGAGCAGTTGTCCCTCCACTGAGGGATCTTGTTTTGTGATGAAATTGTTATGCAGTCAACAACATGTGTCCAACTGACACTCAAGAGTTTCTTACCCATTGCACTATGAGCGAATACGGTTTTACGCCGCTTTAAGCAATATTCCAGCAATATCACGACGGGGGACACCAGAAATGGGCTTCACACATTGTACCCATGAGGAGAATCGAACACGGGCTTTGAAACAAACGCACACAGCACCATCGATAGTCAATCTCACAGTCCCTTAACTGCAGCGTTTTCTCTACCCATTACGCCCTAAAGGAAGCAAGTCTAGATTTCCTCAGGTTCAGGGATCCCCTTTCTCCATGGGGTTCCTATTTCACTTTAAAAGGTATTGTTTGTTTCTTTCAAAATGATATATATCCAGAGGCTAAGCGTAGTTTACACAATCGACTGTGTACGATTTAAGGCTAGAATACGTTCTCTCTGAAATGTCATGGTCATAGGAATTGACTAAATGAATTTGTTGGTTCGGTGACTAGACTGATGCCATCGTATCCTCCATTGCCTACATCGGTGCTCGTAATGTCAGCGACTGGGTTGACTGGCGAGAGTCGAGATAAATCAAATCAAATTAACTATTTGTTATTTGTTTGTCAGTCGAGCAATGTATACCACTGCAACCTGTAAAATAACTGTGGAAACACATCGCGACTTCACTGATTTGATGCCTAGCATATGTCGAAGCCAACAAACGCAAGCTATTCAGGTCTGCAGTCAAGGGGAGGTAATCAATGTTCACAACCAAGGTGAACCAGGATGCCTCGTCGCCTGCCAGATTTCTACTGCCGGAATAGCACGAATTAGTCACGACCAATTCCGCGAAAGCTTATATCTATCCGAAACATTAAAAGTCATTCGGCAAGTGCCCGAATGGCCTTCGTTATTATCATTCGTCACCACTCGCCCCTTTCCCATTCGTCACCACTCGCCATTTTCCGTAACCTCCAAGAAGATCGCTATTCGACTTGTCCCGGAATAACACGAGTTGGTCACGGAAAGGGGCGAGTGGTGACGAATATCACGAGTTGGTCACGAATGTTATTATGCGTAAAATTCCGAGGCGTTACGGAAATTATCGAGTGGAATTTTCCGAAGCCAGTGACATAAACATCCGGTTTCGGACATAGTGAAAGAAGAGAGTGAATGTTGATAGCTGTGTTTATCATTTGATGACAATGGCACATTTACCGAAAACATTCAAAGAACGAAGGACCCATGGTATGTCTGTTTGTTAATATGTACCGTATCTTTATCTGATTGTGAAACTGTGACTGGAAATGCCAACAAAAGTGGCTGTCAAAATAAGTATTACAAATGATGTCACCATGATTGTTGATTGTCTAGATCGGGGCTAGATGTCATGACTGTCATCGTCGAACACGATTGTCCTCAATTACTAACATACTGTAGTAAAGTGTAGTTTGGTTGGAAGCGTCTTAATGTCTGTAAAATAATGTGATCAATTAAGCAATATTTACGTATCACATGACACGCAATGGTGGAAGTCGCGAGGGGAAAACCCAGTCTACTCGCACGAACATCTTTGACCTCTGGTGTTTTGAGTAGAAAACACTCCAGAGATAGACTTCCGCCTGTGTCCTCTTCCGAAAGTTTTGTTCAGAATGCCGTACTGTTAGGAAGGGGCACCATGTCATCTATCTTCATTTATCTTGTCCAATATGGCTCTTTATTTACATGTTTTATGCAGTGTCCTATATATTTTGGGAAGGAGGTAAGGGGATACAATTTACAAACCGAATTCTTTCCCAATCAATCGTGTGGAACGTGGAAAATAACGTAGATGAATAATGTCATTTAGGCGTAAAAACATGTTTATGGTAATAGAAGCTGTTCAAGAACCAGCTTATGCAGAATTTATAATTTTCTAGTATGTCACAGCTGGCTTTTAAAATCAGCAGTCCCCTAGTTGTTTGGTTTCTGCCCTTACAATATCCTATCTTCACTCCCTAAATTTAAAACTGAGACTTGTGAGTCACCTGCAAAAAGGGAAAGAATATGCACTCACGAAATACAAGCACTCTATATTGGAACATGACTCGTATCACATTTGTGTGTGTATCATATTGTGGCCCTACGTTATTGCCATACCTCAAATAATGATAAATCACCTACACTCGCATAATCTTGATTCGTGGATATAACTATAAGGGAAGTGCGACAAAAATCTTATTTTAGATGCACAATTTTATTTTGAATACTCACTAATTATTTTATTCAGCAAATTGAAAATGTCTAATAAAATTCCACTCGTGAATGAAACGTTGTTTACGGAAGCCATTTGCAATCATCACCCATTCATGACCACACAAAATGTTACGTCACCTTGTTTCGTGGATTACGTAGTCGGTTACTATATATCACTATGTACGACAGTCCATTGCAGTAAGGATTGATACATAGGAAAGCAGACTAGGAGATGTGAGAGGGTTGGTGCTAACAGTATCACTTTTACTTGACATTTTGTAAGAATAAAATTTGGTATTAGTGATCTTGGGCTATTTATCTCAGTGCTGGACAATAAGCTTTTGTGTACTTACATGTAATGCAGAGATTCGGAACATTTTGGTCAGCGAGGCGTGGCAGCGTGTGTACATCAAAAGTACAACTTTGTGACGTCATAAGAAACTTAATTTACGAGGTAGCATGGTAATTACTGGGATCCACAAGTCAAGGTTATCCACGAATTTAGGTTACGGTTCTGTAAAAGTTTGTCTATACGTTGTTATTTGTTTTAGACCAGAGAGTCCAGGATGTTGAAGCCATCAGAAACCAGCATGTGGATAAAATTCCAGTAAGTTGTTCTCAAATCTTTTTCTGTTATTGTTGTTGAACCTGTTTAACATGATTCCCATTGGTCTTGTAACTGTGATGTTGTCAAATTTGTTTCTATATCTTATGAAATTATATCACATTGTTTCAAGAACATTGCAACAACCTTCATTGTCCCTTGTTTAATGTATTCATTTTCATTCCACATGTATAAAATGTTACACTTGTTGAAGGTTTTTAACAATGTGTTGTTAGGGGAGTGTGATAACTCTGTTAACACTGTTAGCATTGATAAAATGTTACACTTGTTGAAGGTTTTCTAACAATGTGTTGTTGGGAGAGTGTGATAACTCTGTTATCTTTGTTCTGGTGGATAACAGCAGACCATACATCATGTATATTGTGTTGTATTTTATCCATGCTAACTTTTGCTACTTATTTTCACCAACAAAGTGGATAGACAAGTTTTTCTTCTTCGATGGGCATTTTAGAAGTTGAGTTGATGTAGAATAATGACAATTATTATGGATATACAACTTCTTTTATTCTGTGGAGGCTACGTTTCGACATAGATTCTAATCTCATTGTCAAGCAAGTGATGTCACAGAATAAAAGAAGTTGTATATCCATAATAATTGTCATTATTCTTCAGACAAGTTTTTGTCAAGATGTATTTAAAAACAGTTATTCCAGACAATATAGCAATATCAGGAGCAAGATACGTTACCATGGTTACGGTAATACAGATCAGCTATGGTGTTATGATAGTATCAGGTGTTTTTACTTCTTTTGATAATGTACCTTGACAGGATGATGAAATTGAACAAATTCATATCATGATATACTCCAATAAAAGAACAGTCAAGATGTTAAGATCTTTTAAAATTAGGGTATTTTGGATCTTCCAAACAATGTGTTAGATGTACACATCCTTTCTTAATTTAACACAGAAAACAGATCATGCACAATAATGCTGACATTTCACCATTTCAATATTGGTGAATTGTGACAATTTCTGTGAGTTTAGTTTAGTTTTGGTTGTATGTATTTCTTACCTCTCTAGTGTTATATGCCTTGGAACCGTGTCTGATTTAAATTTATCAGATCTCCTCTATTGTTGATGTATTGATTGTAGATACAACCTATATGGGGAAGGGCAACTTTCTGTGTGTGAACACAATGTTGTGTTTTGTTTATTTACAGCATTACAAGGAAATATTTAGTATTTAATGACAACATTTCCTTTTGTAGCATATAGGGTAAAGGGATAACAATGACAGTTACTAGACGATTGTGTCTGTTTCTATATTAAAATAGATTCTGAAACTACTTCTCTGTTAATGTATCCAGTACCTGGAATAATTGTTCTTCCGTGAAGCCATATTACATTTCACGACTGGTTGATTAAAATGTAACAAGCATCTCTTGCTCACTTTGGGCCTAAAAATATGTTGTGGTTCCGATTACCCGACCGACCCTTGAAATCTGGTGCTGACCCAATTTTCTTTCAGGGGAATGAATAAAATAAGCTTTCAGATACCATTGTTTTTTCAGCTCCAACATATATCGGTCATTCTGATAGAGAAAGTCAATATGATGGCCGTAAGCTTGATTGAATAAACAATTACACATTGATAAATGTGTTATTAGTTCGTTTTTACTTCTAAAAAAATATGTAAAAAAAAAAATTCCAACCTACCTACCCTAAATTTTAAAGAGGTGTAATCGGAACCGCAACACTCTTTTTATTTGGCCTTTGTAAAATGCTTCTCACATGGTAACTCAGGTACCGGGGTTGGGTGGATCCTGCAAGATACATAGGACTGGCAGCTAAAAAATATGCACCAATGCTGACTAGTGTTGGGAATTGGTTAAAATCTCAAAATTGATGATTGCTTCGTTACAACCGATCAATCATCGAAAAAAATTGGTTAGCTTCATTTATGAATTTTTCTTGGTTATTTTTGTTAATGCATAAAAACATAAAGAAAAACATGAAGTTCTTTGGTTGTTTTTTGGGGGCAAATTTCCCATCTTGAAAGGATGACTAATGTTTTAGGAACATAACTTTCTTGGGGTTTTTAAAATAAATTCAATCATGACTTGGAACGAGCTTGTAGTGCTCATGAAATGTAACTGATAAAACCAACCTTGTGAAAAATATTGTTAATGCAAAAAGTGTTCCAGAATTGTTTGTGTTCGATTATGAGAAAACATGATCGATTGCTTGGTCGTTTAGTCACTGCGACCAATCTTCGATTATTTCAATTAATCGGACCACCACCAATGCTGACACAATGTGTCTAATTTTGACAATCCATATCTCGGGTTAACTACTGCCTCTGGGCATGTAGAGTTTACTTCACTCCCAGTTGGGTACAGTGATGAAATTTTGACATTGCCCAGGATTTCCATTTTTTCACCTAGGAACGTTGCTATTAATAACCAAATTAAATCCCTGTTAATGCTATTGTGATAATGTTCAGGTGATCATCGAGCGCTACAAGAATGAGAAGAACCTGCCGATGCTGGACAAGACCAAGTTCCTCGTCCCAGACAATGTGAACATGAGTGAGCTGGTCAAAATTATCAGGTTTGTTTAGCTCTAATATTCTTCGTCTGTTCTAGCAGCAGTAGTGTAGCCTATTTGTTAATGCATTTGCTCGTCATGACAAAGGCCCAAATTCAATTTCCTGGACAGGTTATATTTTTAGTTGTGCTGTCAATCACTGGCTGGCTTGGTCCATTTTTGCTATTTAAAGTCATTTTCCTGATCATTTGGTAGAATATTGCTAGAAGTGACTGTGGAAAAACGTTTGGCCCCAAATGTGTTGTTGATGAATGAAACATATTTGGTTCTTTCCCTGTTAGTGGAATGAAACTTTTGTGTCACTTTCAAAGGAAAACTTGATTAAAGCATTATTGTAATGCTGTTGTCAAGGATTCACTCGTAAGGATGGGAAAGCAACATTAACCTGGGGTGCCCAGTGGCTGCTAGAGTTGTAACTTGTATGATCCCCAGGGAGTTGAGATTGAAAATACGGTGTGCCATTGAGAGTGACATCCAATCATCAGGGTGAAATACCAGTGCCTTGAGCATGTACTAGTTGCGTAGAACCGCCTCCATGGTGTAGTGGTTAGAGCGTCCGCCCGGAGAGCAGGAAGGTCGCGGGTTCCATCCCCGACCGCGTCATACCAAAAGACGTTAAAATATGGTACTTGTTGGTCCCTGCCTGGCGCTCGGCATTAATGGGTACAACAAGGACTGGTCGGCTCGGAGTCAGTATAATGTGTCTGAGTGGGGTATTCATGCTTCACTGCGGCATGGTATCTCAGTGGGCTAGCACTATAAAACCAGCTTCACTCTGGGCTAGTACAAGCAGCCGCACATTCACACGCATGCACGTCGTCATATGAGCCAAATATTCTCAAGCACGACGATAAACCCAATTTCACCTCACCTCACTAGATGCGTAGATATATGCGCTATATATAAGTATCCTATAATAACACAGGGGCGGTGGGGTAGCCTAGTGGTTAAAGCGTTGGCTCGTCACGCCGAAGACCCGGATTCGAATCCCCACTTGGGTACAATGTGTGAAGCCCATTTCTGGTGTCCCCGCCATGATGTTGCTGGAATATTGCTTAAAGCGGCGTAAAACCAAACTCAGTCAGTCAGTATAATAACACAGCAAAACAACATATAATCATATCCATATTCTGTTTAATGGCAAAATGTCACACATTTTCGACAATATTTTGACCTATGCTTTATACATTGGAGGCATATGCACCCACATTAGCTTCCTATTGATGCAATAAAAGACTTATTATCCCTTGCAACTTGCCTGAAATCGATAATTGAAACTTCGAGATCAACAGCTTCCAAACAGATAACACTTGCCATATAACACTTGGCATGTAAACAGTTAATCCGTACATTGAAAACTGTTGCACGCTATTTTGTTGGTGTTTGCCGAACTGGTTACAATCAGAAGTTGTGCGTAGGACATTCGTAAAGAGCGCTCCAAGGGACATAACGCTATGGGATTCACTTGAAATAATGGTTGGTTGGTAGAGGGCACAAGAGTCGATTTAATGCAACGTTGCATGAATTCATTCGAACTTTTTAATCTAATAGTTTGATCTAAATACATAATTTTGTTAGGAATAAATTATATGATAGCTTCCCAGAGAGCTGATAGTTAGTATTATTGAGAAAAATGCATTATGTATTTTTAGAGAAGTGTGGTGTGACATTGTGCCTTGGATAATTGACAATATGAACTATAATACCACACATAAGAATTATAGCAAATGGGAGTCATCTCCCTTTGACATGGGACTACACTTTTGTATATTGGCTGATTGTAAAAAAAATATTCTCATGGACATGAGAAATGCAGTATTGACTGAAGATGAAGTCTACGAAACATATTAAGTATGAGCAGACATGACGTAGAGTCAATACAATGTATATATTTTTGGAAAATTACATGTGACAGCTCTTTGGCCAGTCAATATGATAGAAATCTATTTCATATGATAGTGAGTGAGTTCAGTTTTACGCCCCTCTGTCAATAATCCAGCAATATCATGGCAGGGGAATGGGCTTCACACACTGTTCCCATGTGGGGAATCAAACACGAAGTCTACGGCATGACAAGCAAATGCTTTAACCACCAGGCTACCCCACTGCCCCAATGATATAATATGACATATCAAATGATATGATATAATTGAGTTATTTACGGGCTGATGTGATGTAATAGTTGCTAACTTGCTTTCACTTAGTCCCAGAAGACTGGACTAATCATAATCCCTTGTTCACTTTCCTTCTTTAGACGGCGTCTACAGCTGCATCCCAGTCAGGCGTTTTACCTCCTCGTCAACGACCGCAGCATGGTCAGCAACACCACTCCCATCTCTGAGGTGTACCAGCGAGAGAAAGATCAGGATGGCTTCCTTTATGTCGTCTACGCCTCACAGGAAACGTTCGGTTCCGCATGAAACATCTTGTTCATACAGTTGTTCCATGAATATTAATTGTTGAGTCTATAACTGCCTGTGACAGTGACCATCGGGTCAACTCTTAGAGTGATGTTCTGAAATTAACCAAGCTGATGTAGCAGAACTGAACTTCCTGATAGCTTTGATTGATCAGCAAGAGGGAAAATGTCGTGTTTTTCTGATCACTTGATTAGAAGATTAAAATTAGAAAAAGAAATGTAAGTGACAGTCTGGTGAAATATACCAAAAACTTAAAGAAAGATTTGTTTCAATGCAAAGTTAAAAGTGACTTAGCTTAATTTTTTTTTTTTTTTTTAAATGGAATTAGACATGCCACGAGGTAAAATGGTTGTCTTCAACATGTTTTTTGGCTCACATGTTTGAAAATATTTGGTTGATTTATCTAAAAATAGAATATGAAAAACAAAAACATGGTATCATTATCATCTTTGTTGTATTGGCGTTGCCATGGTTATTGGTATTATTCAATCATACAACACTACTTTGAAATTCATGACTTCCCAGTTTTCATGCAGAAAGTATTGGGTACTGTAAAAGCTAGTCATTTGATTGTTTTCAGAAAGATGTATAAAATACATTTATTTTATGGCAAGGGTCAGTGTCCCTGAAATGTAAATTTCTGAGAAAAGTTATCGTCAGCATTTAGTTGGATGAAAACAGTGTGTACCACCTTTACCTGTTAACGTGTAGAGAAGCCAAAACTATACTGAGGGAAACAAATAAGGGAACACCACTTCATAGCAGTGTTCCTGTATTTATTCTCAGATTTCCTCCCACAGCGTTATTCAAAGCTGGTGATGAAAAGTGGAAAATATTAAAGGAATGCTTGAATTTTCCTGTGTTCCTTTATTTGTTTCTCCCAGTATATATGTACCAAAAGTTAAAGTTATGGACTGAAGAATGTTTATGTCAATCACACAGATCATGATTTTAATATCAGAAGTACTGTCTTTATTTTATTTTAGGTTGTCTGATGTAGAAATCTCCATTCATGTTTATGTTTCTAAGTTTTCATGTACTATTTGTTCTTGTATTACTGGTAATATTGTTTGAAGAGTTGTTACAATATTTATTGGAATATACATTGGAAGGACTTGTTACATAGAAATGATGTTCATTTAGGTGTGTTATAAATACCCTGAACCTATTGGCTAACATAGTGTTATATTATGTCTCATCTGAATTATGCTAAGAAAAGCTCCAATCAGATTTCACATTGCTCAGAACTCCATATAAGGATATATAAATGCATGGATCACATTTCAGGAATCATTTGATTGGTTGTTGATTAAAAAGGAGAGATTTTGATATTATTTCCCACACATCTATGAGAATGAGTTCAGGGTATTATCACTGTAGCATTGGTAGATAAACATACATTGATTAAAAATTTAGGGTATTCTCACTATAGATTTGATGCCCCTTTTTATATGGAACTGGCTGTTTTTTACAAATCTCAAACACAGGATTGTGTTACTGTTTCTAAAGCAAAACGTTTTTGGTTTGGTGAGAATGGTCACCTGTCTCAAGTCATCACCCACTGAGTGGCTAATATGGTGTCTGAAATATATCTTTTGTCTCAAACCAGAAGAAGATGTTGTATATATTTTTCAATCCCTAATGAAAGTTTGACAATTTCGTTTCATCCAGGAAAATATGAGATTGGTTTTGGATAGTGAGTGTCTCTGACAGATGAGCATTTTGGTGTTCAATCCTTCAAAAAGTGAGGATAGTAATATTTTAAACTTTATTATGTTGCAGATTGAAAACTTACATATGTACCAGTAAAGAATTGTGCATCTAGTATATTAAAAAGTAAAATTCATAAACAGAATATGTGGAACAACAAGAAACCTAAACTGTTTTTTTTTGTTTGTGTTTTTCCATTTTCTTCCACTTTCTAACAATCTCCTAATGACTTTTTTGACAGGAATATACGTTAACCCAAATTTTAAAATCAACTAAAAGCATATATAAAATCTGACCTGAAATTACAGTAACAGTTCTGTTTATTGGAATGTATACCTTTTATATACCGGTACCTTCTTCCCTGGCAGAATTCAATGTCTTTCAGTTTGTCACACATGGTCTATACTTCAAGCTTGTTTCCTTAATAATTACTCCAACAGACTGGAAGTGTGGCTGGTGGCTTCGTGGTCAGTGTGTTTGCTCATGAAGTTTAAGTCCTGGGTTCTAGCCTGACTCAAGTGCAGTCTGTTATTGATGGCCATGATGTGATCATTATGGCAGGGCGGTGGGGTAGCCTTGTGGTAAGGCGTTAGTTCAACACGCTGAAGACCCAGGTTCGATTCCACACATGGGACATAAATATGTCTACATGTATGTGTGCAGTATACTCGAGAATATTCGGTAGTTTTATTTGAAGCCTTACTTTGCCTTCAACTTAGGCAGGTACTAACAATTTGAAATTTTGAAACTTGTAAAGTTTCTCTTGGAATTTTGCTGAAATTGAGTTACTTTAGCAGTTTTGAAAGCAATAACATTTAACAGTTTTTGGAAAGGACTATGTATTTCTTTGTTTTATTCTGTTTATGGATTGGATTGAAACTCAGGTGTTGACCATCAATGCATTTGTATGCATTTGTTTGGGTGATTATTAGGAAACAACCTCATATTGTGGGACCAAATTTCAGAATAAACCAAAAAAAGTACCTTCAGGCAGCGATTACTGATGCTGTTGATATTTTCACCACTTACTGCAGTTTCACAAAGCACATTTTAGTGGTAATACTGACAGGGACATCAGTCAAATATCGCCCATATGTTGTGCCAAGACATTTTTAGCCCTTCCGGAACTTTGTTCACGCTTATACCTCAGCGTCTCTTCACAACCAGGCGGAAGCTGCAGTAAAATATTGTCGAGGTTCTTTGAGAAGATTAAAGTATTGACAATGTCACCTCTTTTATACCAAAGCTTTCCTAAAATGGCAATGAATTTTTTTGAATGTTCACGTTAGTTCAAACCAGCTTTCCAAGTTATCATTTGCCTCTGGTCATCAAGGTCGCATAATTCACTGTGAGGGGGCTTCCTGTATATACATCAGTTTCTTTTGGTAATGGGTTCAAATTCAAAATTCACCTGATTCTGATACTTGGCGTCTGAGCACCATACCTGTGCTCTGGGTTGTCAATAAAGTGTTCAGTCTGACCACTTTGGGTATTCCTCCAGTGTAGAGCATGCTATAACTGAAATACTATAGATTAATGGTGTTTCGCTCGTTTGATACCAAATCATTAACTCGTGTAATAAAAATGGTATTACACGTAAGGTCGTTTAGTATCCTCTATTTACTTGTACAGTATTGATTAATGGCTGTTATCTCTCAGTTTGCTAACAAGCTTCATTCATACAATGCCAATCTTACCATGTGAAATTTCCTTACTATTTTATTACCTGTGTATACCTTCAGTAAATGTGTTTTGGGGTGAGCTTTGAATCACGTTATGTTATCTATGCTCCTTGTTCTTTTAAAGACTAGGCTTGTTTATATTTTCTCTGTAGGTTTCTTCCATGAGTATTGCATCATGTTATCTGGTGAAGGTTGTCATGCATACTTTATCCTGTTATTTGTAAATCAAGCTAGAAGAATGTCATTTTGGCATAATTGGAATTTGTGAAGCATATTCTGTATGTGGCCCTTATGTAATAACTGAATGATTACCATAGGCGGATCCAGAGGGGGGGTGCAGGGGTGCGCACCCCCCTTTTGTCCTGAAAGTTTATTAAATGACCATTGAAATTCTGGTGAAAATGAAGTGTGCACCCTCCCTTTTCCCAATAGTGTGCACCCCCTTTCTCAAAAAGCTGTATCCGCCCCTGATTACTTAAATTATTCTCATGAGCAGCATTTTTTAAAATAGATGCAAGGGTGGCCTAGTTGTCTGAGGCACTGCAGTTTGATGTGAAGAGTTATGTCCCTTGACCATGTCAATCTTTGGTTGATGGTTTGTTTGAATCCCAGATTCACAGTGAAATGGTTACACACAAAATTGGAAAAAGTCGCTGGACAGCATTCACACAGACTTTTCTCCATCGTCAAGCTGACATAGTGTTTCCCCAGGATCCGAAAAGGGCAGGGCAACAGAATTCCAAAAAGAGCATGCAATGACATATTTCCAAGTATTATGTTAAATTATTCATGCACCAATTATTGTACTGAAAGAAGGGCAAGGCGACAAATGAAAATGGCAGGGTGCGTCGCCTTGGGGAAACACTATGACATATCACGATGAAACTAAGACACTGTTCACAGCACCCTTAACCAAACTCAGTCACTCGCTCTTGTCTATTACCTGGTGACCCCCGCTGTGATATTGCTGGAATATTGCTAAAAGCGGCGTAAAACCATACTCACTCACTCTTGTCTATTACACTGGATAAGTCTCTTTAATGTCAGGAATTATGATCTGTTGCTGTATCAGTGCTAGTCAAACATCGGTCAGATATTCAGCAATACAGTTTCCCAACATCAGGACAGTCTTTGCTGCCATTATGACTTCCATAATGAAACCTGGATTACAATAAAAATGCAAATAATAAATTAGTTTCATTGTGTGTAGAATAAGCGTCAAAATGTGTGGTCATCTTTAATGTCTGATTATGTCCAATGTTGGTGTATAACAATACGTATCATATGGTAATGTTGTATCATGATTCCATATCGTAACACCCATGCTATCATCATATTGTGTCATCAGCCTTTGAATCATCTTGTCAACTTGAAGCTGGATTTTGGTCAAGAATGTTTAATGCACCTTCAGCTATTTCAATTCCAGTCATAAATAAATATTTTCAAAGACCTCAAATCATGATAAATTATTAGAAACGGTTACCATGGTTACAATTTATGCTAGCCCTCAACATACAAACATTTTAGTGAAATCAAACAATGGTTCCATTTTTTGCACGTACCATGAGTTACATTTAATTCAAATTTATTATTTGGTTACCGTGGTGACAGGTATCAGACATTGTATTTTAGGGGCATGTGTATATATTTTTTTTGCTTCGTTGATATTTCAGCCAGTGTGTTTTAGTCTTGTCTTATATTTTCACGACACCCTCGAAGTAAATCTGATTAGTAAGGTGGTGAGGAGATCACAGAAATAGTGAGACAGTCCCTATGTTATACTAAGTGGCAATCTTTGGTTGCCGGGGCGGTGGGGTAGCCTAGTGGTTAAAGCGTTGGCTCGTCACGCCGAAGACCCGGGTTCGAATCCCCACATGGGTACAATGTGTGAAGCCCATTTCTGGTGTCCCCTGCCGTGATGTTGCTGGAATATTGTTAAAAGCGGCGTAAAACCAAACTCAGTCAGTCAGTCTCTGGTTGCCCCTGGTATAAATTCACCTTTTACGCACTGATTGAGCACAGGGATTCATCTCAACATTCAACTTGATATAGCAAATAAAATTAAATATTCATCAAGTAGAATTACAAATTGCACAAATTCAGGATATAAAAATGATAACGTATGTTTAAGTTTACTAACATTTCATTAATAACAGGTTTAAAAATAAGAAATGGCTTAAATGCTTAATTGTACTTTTCAGCATTGAATGCAATGTTATCTTGCAATCATACAAAATAACATCTGTAAGTATCATCCCAGTTTTGGACAAAATAATTTTACCAATTTCATTGTTATGGACACTTCATTTGAAATCCTAGATAAATCCCTGGCTGTACTTTCAGATGAGTATTGTGGTGGAATACTAGGTTTACCCTTACCACTGAAGCATTTAGGTCATTGAGAGTAATTGCAGCCACATGTACAGCGTCGTAACTGTTGCCAGTACTTAGAGAGCAACCATTTGCTTTTCTATAAAGGGAGGATTTTGTATTAAAAAGTATAATCAAGCACCTTACAATTATGGGAAATATGAATGAGTTCCTAAAGATTTAAAAAATGAAAAAATATGTGGATCTTAAATTAATCTAGCCCCATCCTTGAAAATCACTTGGTTGCCATTAATGCTTTGAGTTAGTGTTGGACACAGTGAATGTGTGCTCTAAGAGTTGTGTCTCTAAGCTGCTATGAAGGAATTTCTGTGTTTGAATCTGAAGCCTATCCCAGTAATGAACCTTTGTCTGTACGAAACCTGTGTTCAGGGGTTTTGACTATGGTGGTAATGTCTGTACCTCTTTGGGCTTCCTCTCTCATTGTTCTGCTGGCGTGATATAACTGAACATATTGATCAGTGTGTTATAAGGTTTATCTCACCCTTAGCCTGGGTCCCTTCACGCTGTACTTAAGAGTATAGTCACAATTGGCTGCAATATTGCTGATACGGCTACAAACAGTATTTACTCTTACCAATGTTCATGTACAGTTATGAAGTGTGTATATATTGTGTCCACTGTAATATGCTGCACAAATTATCTCCCTTAGTTTTCCCAGGATCAGCTGGTTGCTGTTCAAATCCTATGATCGTGCACCATACCCCTGGGTTACTACTGTAAGTGTCTGTGACGTGCATCACTTTAGGGCTGAAATGGTGCTGGAAACACTTCTTCCTCGCTTACTCCATCTTACGTACATATTAATCAGTTAACTTTATGGCTTGCTCAATGTATAGTCAAGTTGGGACATGTTAGACAAATTGACATCTTTATAACTCTTCATGTACATTATGTTTTAACATCGAAATACGTCAGTATATTTTTCATGACATATTCTAAGTATACTAGTCAGGTCGTAAACGAGTATTGAACTCCTATACACCTGGGAAAATATTTAGCATTCTATGTTATTTCCATATAAATTACCCAGTTATAAAAATCAGATCTTATATTATGTTTTGAAAAAAAACCCTAACTTTTGTTCCCAATTTTTGAATGAAGTTATGTAACAGATCATTTGCCATATCAAACAAAAATTTATTGACTGATACTAAAATCAGACTTTTGTCCATTACATGGCAGTAGTGAGTGAAATTTCAAAATTCATCATTTAACAAATGACTAGGACAGTTTTTTTAGCTGAACTTTGTTATATTATGTTTTACTGCCTATTTTATTCTGATTCTGCATTTTCTGTAGTTATTTTCTAAACATCAATTAAAGTCTTTGTGAACGCCCTGCACAGCCCTTCATTAAGTCGCAAATCAGGAAAGTATATCAGGCTTTGAAGGCATGGAGTGAGTCTTATATTTAATTCAATACAAATTTGTATTTTTCGAGTGGTTGGGACAAGGAATAACAGACAAATTACATTTCGACCAACCTTCAATCCCTTTGAATTTTATAGAATATATACCCAACAACAAAAAGTTAAAGGCCCCCCCCCCCCAAAAAAAAAAATTTTTTTAAAGTATTATATGGATCATAATATGAACTATTAGATAAACTTTAATATTGAAAATAGGGGCGGTCCTTAACTTTTTTGGTTGAGTATACCATTGGTGCTGGTCGAAAATTATATAGATGGTGGCCTATGAGATGGTAATCTTGAATTGGTATCTCAGGTGTTAGCATGTTTCTAAAACATTTCTACAATTTATCCATATATGGAAGATCGAATCTGGTAAATTTCGTAATGACTTTTAGCTGGTAATTTACTCTTTTGCACTGTTTTCTTGCACTAACAATACCTTTTGTTTTACTATGTGAAAGTTTTTTACTGTAATTGAACAGGAAATTCTTTCTTGAAAGTCATTTTATAATATTTTTTCAAGCATTTTGTTCAGACCAGGGTATTGATCATGGTGAGATTTAAGAATCAGTTCCTCCTGCCTTGTTAGTTCTGAGCTATGTTTTTGTTTTTCAAACAATGTCATGAAAATCAGATCTTTTACTTGGATATGATACTTCACAAGGGTGATGATGATGATGGTGGTGGTACCTCCATTATGTCAGATAAAATGTGAAATCAGCCAATCAGTGTGGAAGCTTCTAAATTCACAATAGTCAGGAAAACATTCAGATCTGCAAATCTGATTTGTGTATCTCTGTGTGAATGATTGAGGAAATCGAATGTGAAAACATAATGCAGCGATATGAAACGATGGTGGATATTCCTTTCAGTGCTATTGAAGGTGTTCAGTGGCAAATTTCCATATTGAACCATTTAAGAAATGAAGCAGAATTTTCTTAGAAACTGACGTCTGATTGCCTCAAGCGTTCACACATTGACATTCTGAATATGTTTATTTTGAGTTTCCTGACATGACCTTCTACGGGAGACTAATTAGGTCTTGATGCAGATGGTCTTGTATCAGAGGAAAAGCTTTTTTTTAATGTGATTTGGTTTAAAGCATGAGACTCTGACAGGCATGGGTCTGGATCACGGCCCAGGAGAGGATAACTCTTGCTTTCGTTTAGCTTTTATTGACCATTACTTGTAAATAGGATTACTGTTGTATATTTGTTTCTCCATATAGAATGTCTTCATCCTGTTTGGTGCATTAAAGAATATGATCAAAGACTGAGCTTGGAGTTGCTTTTGGGAGGAGGATTGAGTTCTGGCAATTCACCAAGACAAACTGTCTTCCATTGCTGAGGAATTCACCGATCACTCTAATGGTCTGGTTTTAATTTCAATTTAAGTCAGTTTGAAATATATGCTGTCACTGGACATCACAAAAAAAACATCTAAATATTTGATGCTCTCCAGCTACATGCCAGGTATACTGACACAGCTGGACATTGAGCAACATCTTCAGACAAAGAGGACCTCTTAGTCTCTTCCAAAGCAATGTCTTCAGAAACGAACACCATCTTTCCAATAGGGACATTTCCAGACAAAGATGACCTCTGGGTTCTTCTGGAGCAACGTCTTCAGAAACGAACACCCTGTCTCTCCTGCAGCAACATATCCTGACAGATGACCTCTGGATTCTTCTGGAGCAACGTCTTCAGACACAGATGACCTGAACCTACTGTAGCAACATACTCAGACATTGATGACCTCATTGTTGGCTGGTTGGTTGTTTAACGCCGCACTCATCAATATCCCAGCTATGTGACGGCGGGCTGTAAATAATCGAGTCTGAACCAGACAATTCAGGAGCGGTGGTTAAAGGTTCACTTGTCATGCTGAAGACCCAGGTTCGATCCCCTACATGGGTACAATGTGTGAAGCCCATTTCTGCTGTCCCTTGCCATGATATTGCTGGAATATTCCTAAAAGCGGCATAAAACTAAACTCACCCACTCAATGTTCCCATTTCAAACTTTGCATGAAGTTTCACTCTCATGACAGTGATTTTATTAGATGGCTATATTTAGCATACTGACATTGGAATATGGCTGTGTAGGAGCTGTATTGAAAGTTGGGTCCATGGTTTCTCGGTCAGCATGCAGCTATTGATAAACATATCAGGAGGCAATTATTCAAAATAAATTATTTATTACAATATATATAGTCCTTAAAAAATGGAATGTATTGAGAAGCACCTGGACATCAGACACTAGCTATGGAGTCTCTAATAAGTATCCATTGTCAGAACTTGCAGTTAAACAGCGCAGTCTTGAAGTCTATGTGACTGTGGTTTGACATATCTGGCTTGACCTCATTACCAAGTTCTCACTTCGACATTATTCAACGGAAAGCAAACATGAGTATGAAGTGAATAAAATGTGTAAATGTAGATGAGACAAACCCTTCAAAAATCTCTGTGGGCTGTGACTTTAACTCTAGGGCTGTTTGTCACATCCAGTTTGTCGCATCCAGTTAAACACAGCAACATATCCTGTCCTGCATTAATACACGATATGCAACCAAGATGACTGACATTCACTCAGTCACTCATTCACCCACACACATGTATAAGCATTATGTACGACCCATTCAGTGTAAAATCATCGAAAGCATTCACCTATTCAACAAAGAGGCCTGAATACTTGATGAACCAGCTGTCTTGCATCAGGATATCTGATTAGTGAGGGGCGGTGGGGTAGTCTAGTGGTTAAAGCGTTGTCTCGTCACGCCAAAGACCCGGGTTCGAATCCCCACATGGGCACAATGTGTGAAGCCCATTTCTGGTGTCCCCCGCCGTGATGTTGCTGGAATATTGCTAAAAGCGGCGTAAAACCAAACTCAGTCAGTCAGTCAGTCTGATTAGTGACTTCTCCAAATTCATTGTTTCCTTGGTACATTACACTATATTTGACCATGTAGATTTTGATTCGATTCAAAATACTTGAATAATCTTTCACATAATATCATAGAGTTTGGGTTCTTTCGCTTCAGAATTTGGGTCAGGGAAGTAACTGACAAGATTCAGGTATCCAGAAGTTTGTTTATCTGGACAAAACGTGGGAAAATGCAAGAGTCTGGATAAGCGAGTATTTGCTTCTAGGTTATGGCTTCATCCCTAACTTTGACAACAGATTGACTGAAAACATTTCCTGGCTCCAGATACATGACAGTGAAACATACAAACAGGCGTCCATAATCACACACAATACTAAAACATCTGAAACATAACTTCAAGCAGAACTTTCCAACTTAATGTCACTCGAGAGTTTGCAGCTCACATAAAACACAATCTACCAGCTGGGGCCCCCACATCCACTGAGTGTAATTCCCATATCTGTGAAACCAAGTAGCTCTACACATGCCAGTTGAGGCAGTGATCCCCACATCCACTGCCTGACCTTGTTCGCTTCCGTTGTGTTGCTGTAATCCACTGAGTCAGCGTTCCATATCCCAACACCGCGTAAACCAAGTGTCTCCGCCATCTGACACTTGATGGAGATGCTCTCTGGATCATCATACTGGTACTGGTACATGATCCCTGTGGACGGATCCTGGGGAAGAAAGAGCAGAGTAATATTTATTGTGTGGATCCCTGTGGACGGATCCTGGGGAAGAAAGAGCAGAGTAATATTTATTGTGTGGATCCCTGTAGACAGATCCTGGGGAAGAAAGAGCAGAGTAATATTTATTGTGTGGATCCCTGTAGATGGATCCTGTGGAAGAAAGAGCAGAGTAATATTTATTGTGTGGATCCCTGTGGATGGATCCTGGGGAAGAATGCGCAGAGTAATATTTTTTGTGTGGATCCCTGTGGACGGATCCTGGGGAAGAATGTGCAGTTATAATATTTATTGTATGGATCCCTGTGGACGATTCCTGGGGAAAAATGCGCAGAATAATATTCATTGTGTGGATCCCTGTGGATGGATCCTATGGAAAAATGTGCAGTTATGATATTTATTGTGTGGATCCCTGTGGATGGATCCTGGGGAAGAAGTCACACTTTCATATGTGTCATTTGTTTGGTACCCACAAGTATGGGCATGATGCTTTCACCCCTGGAAATATCATCAGGGCATAACTGGGATTCCAACCTATGACCTCAGATGTTTAAGAATCAACATCACAGCAAACCCATAGCAACTTGGCAATCCATGTTCCCCATGATAAATGGGTGGTTGGGGTTTCAAGTGCCTGGCCACACGACCATGTCTAGTCAAGTAACTCCAAGAAACTCGATAAGATGTCACTGTGATTGGACTCATTACAGTTTACTAAACACTATGGGATTAATAATTTGGTAAAACTTAAAACCATGAACATAATATAGATGTATATTTAAAAACTGCTTCATAAACAATTTGGATCGCAACAAAACTAGGTCGACACCTGTGCAAAAAGAATTTCAAACAATAATTTCATTTCCTACTTTGTGAAGGTAAGTTGTCTGAAAGCACTGTTTACCTATTTATTAAACACTTTGTACTTGCAATAAAACATGTATTTTGGCAACAATTAGACTTTAAATATCTTCAGATTTTTTAACAGAAGTCCTTTTCACTGTTAACTATTCACAAGTAGTTGTGCAAGTTATAGTATCTTGCTCTCCAGGATGTTCACCTGAGACAACTATGTTTATTACCTTGTAAGTGAAGTGTGGAGTTTGAGTCACATTGTCCCAGATCCTCTTTGCCCCAGAGCTCTGCAGGAGGGGGTAGACTGCACTGAAGTCTCGCTGTGTGCCTGCGGCATCGCTGCAGTTGACCCCTCGGAATGGAACATGTTTGATGAAACACTTGTCATCCTGAAGTAGAGCATGTTCATACTGAAGTTAGTGAGCTGCATATTATTCCATTATGTACGTTCCATGTGGGAGGAGAACACAATAAAGATCAGGATGAAGATGGGAAAACCTGAACCAAGGGATTCGTGGTGACAAATGGAGGATCATACTATGGTTCAATCCTGAATTTTAACTCACTTGCTGATTTGGTAACTGTTGCTATGTTCTGAGTCCTGTACTTGGATTCGAACCGCGGACCTTCTGGTGGTTGACCACCTGACCAGAGAGGTTAACCCCATTTATAAACCTATGGCCAATGTTGTCTATTGCTCTTACAGTTCCTTCGCATTATGGAATAACCTCGGTAGAGGTTTTGCGATTGCAGGAGGTTTTACAATGATCATTGTAAAACCTCATACGAGGTACTAAGTTTTACAATGGTGATTGTAAAACCTCATACCCTGATATGAGGTTTTGAAATGACCATTATTTATCACTGATACAACTTTGTCTTGCTATGACTGATCGTAAAATATCTCATTATTGAAAACTTCCAATATTTAGTGGCAGTAACTGGTTTCGAACCCGCAACCCATCGCTCTCTAGCTTGGCGGTTTTATCCACTACGCTACGAAGGATCGCTGTGAGGAATGAGATTGTTTGTCAGTATGAACCATGTGTTTCTCAGAAAAGACAGGTACTGCAGGCAGCGCACGTGCAGGACACGGGTAGCGCGTGCGGGGCAAGATGTTGGCTGCCAGTCGCATCCCAGTTGACACCGGCTGTTCCATCATTTGCGGGCTGTTCCATCAATGTTGTTCTACTCGTTTCAGACTGTATGTGTTTAATTTTCAGAGCTTGTTTGAGTGATTTTTGTTGTCTTAGACGGTTTATAAGTTTGATAAAGACTCCTCCTCGGTTTTGTTTGAGAAATGTGTCAGAGGTTCATCGATCGCTTAACGCCCTCGGGATTTCCTTCCCCTGAGGTTTTACATTCTCAACCAAAACCTTGGAGTCGCCTTTATCCTACACAAGCAAACTGACAAGGTAAGGATGTCAACTGCGGAATTACTCCACACCCTGCTACATATCCCCCCATCAACAGAAGCCATGGGATGCTTACTAGGGTACTGACACCTTTTTTGCTCAAATTTAATATGAGCTTGCTCAGCCTTATTATGGGACCTCAGGAACAAATCTCCTTTGAGTGTAACATACTTAAAAGAAAATGACAAATCCCCTCCAGTCAGTTATGACGCCAGAACCTAAGTAAATGATGACCAGTCCAACTGAAAACATCCCTATTTATCATGGGGGTCAGAAGAAAGGCCTGATTACCTGTGTGAGCTGAAGACATGGGTACCGGTAGCCGTACCATGGCATCCCGAGAACCAGCTGTGATGGCGGGATTTCCACAATCTTCAGGTAACCCTGTAAACCTGACACCACAGTCAGATAAACATACAATGTTTGTCATGGGTACTGATACATTGTGTCTGAAAGTCTAGGATTAAAATATTATTTCATGTTTGCTCATCATTGACAGTTCTACTAATTTTATTTAAGGTTCAGTCACTATATGGCTGAAGTAATACTGTGACGTTTAATAACCATCACCTGAAGAAGGGGCAAGAAGTAGGGTTATACAATAAGGAAGAAGTTACCATCCATATACAGTGGACTCTGGCAATATCGGCCTCTGTAAACACCGGCACTCTGTCTACATCAGCACAAAGTTTCAGTCCCGGCAGAAATGCACTTAATTATCATTTAAAAACATCTGTAAACATCGGCATCTGTCTACTCAGGATATTGGCATTGTTTTTCAGTCCCAACAAACAAGTTGTTATGAAAATAAAAACCGGCACATGAAGGACAACGCAACCCTTTGATGCAATTAGGTCCAAATGATGTAACAACACAATTCGCGGTTACTCCTGAGATTTTTCAGAAGCGGGAAGTGCCAATCAGTTTCTTGTTAATTAGTGAGTGGTACGTGTAATTAATAGTGGGCAGTTTGACTGTAAAAACAAGCAAGAGTTCAGTTGATTCAAGGGTATTTAAGGTTTTTTGGCGAGCCAATCACAAAGCTTGGATGACATCAGCCCTGTATCGTGATTGGTTGGAGCAGCTTAATCGGCAAATCCGAAGACAAAGAAGAAATAGGTTATTATTCATGGACAACGCCCCTTCCCACAACCATGGCATTAGTCTGTGTAACGTGAAACTTTGCTACCTTCCTGCAAACACGACGTCAGTTCTTCAACCACTAGATCAAGGTATAATCCGCGCATTTAAGGCACGTTACTGTCGATATCTTTTGAGATCACTTGTCTCTAGAATGGACACATGTTCCAGCACTGATGAACTTTGCAAAGCAATCACGGTGTTAGATGCAGTGTACTGGATCGCGAGGGCGTGGAACGAGACAACACCCCTGACCATTCGCCTTGTTTCTTATTCACACATGTTGTTAATGCTAAAGTGACAGCGCCGACGTCATAAACTAACTTGCAACTTGCCTAGACCGGCACTCTGTCAAAACCGGCATTTTTATTTGGTCCCGAGTGATGCCGGTATTGACAGAGTACACTGTACTCGTCTTATAGGAAGTAAATAGACATATAAATTCAAAATTTAGCTTAAAAAAGAGTACACTACATCATGACAGTCATCACTTGTTTGCAAACGTAGTTAAACTCTAATACATGGGTGTGGTTGGTTGTTGTAATTGCTGCCAGCAAAAGTCTGAAGAGAACCAAGAACGGGCTATTCCAGTGAGGGAGTGTGACCAAAACCAAAGGGAGATAACTCCAACAAAGAACAAGTGCCATCACCATCAAGATTTGCCCTGATCATAAACCTTACTCTATCATGAATGATGATACCCTGTACTCATGGTTTCACCAGAGTGGAAATGTCCTTGACCTTCATTGCTTTGGGCTTTCCTTCCACATTGAGAAGGCCCACCATAGCGCCTCAGAAATACTGTCTAAAGTTATGTTAAATGCAAATTCACTCATATATCTTCACCTATAGCTCACCTGTCAAGGTTTTGGCAAAGCCTGAGTTGGCCTTGGCAATACATTCTCCCTGGATCTGACTCTGTTCATCATAAGACATGACAAACAGAAAGTCTGTGTACTGGGCTAAGCCTTTGTAGTCATAGCAACGAAGGTCGATACACGCTGGGCTCCATGCAACATCCACTGTCACCTGGCAACAAAATCCATCACTGCAATAATTTGACCAAGGCAAGTTGGCAGAGGTATCAGGGACGGATGCAGCTTTTTGAGAAAGGGGGGTTGGTGGGGGGTTGCACAGTTCATTTTCACCCGCTTTAATGAGAGTTTCAATGGACCCATTTAATAAACTTTCAGGACAAAAGCCCATGGATATATTTAGGATTCTGCTGTAACGACCAAAGCAAGTTGGTTGAAAGTCTTTCGGCATTCAGTCACTACCTTTTACAACACTCAGAATACTGTTTTTGACCACTGAGTAATTCCTCACTTATATTATAACCATTCACAATAGTATTGACAGTTTTAGGTGGATATTCATGATCTTTCAGGCATTTGATCCAAACTAGAACACTATAATAAATATATTTTTTCAACATATGCTTATTTAGGTGATTCCTAATATGTACCTGTGCATCACGTCAAATAAACTCACAAAAACAACATACGCGTCTGATCAACAATGAGAAGGAATTAGATCAGATTTATACATTATTCACTGGTGCAGAGCTGGTGTATATGTGATACCTGTACTCAATAGGCAAATACAGATCTGCACTATTCTCATGGAATGTCTGTTTTATACATTGTTGGGTTGTTTAGGAGCAATACCTGAGAGTAAGGCAAGGCTGATTTGAAGGCCTGGTATGTCTCCCTGACGAGGCTTGTGTATCCGTCACGGACGTCCACCTGGTCCTTCGGTATGGGACTCTCGAAGTCGATGTTGATGCCGTCCAGGTAGTTGTCTTGGACAGTCGCCAGTTGCTGAGTGACCCAAGCTTGTCTCTTGCTTGAGTTGGTGAGGTCTGCTGTTTGGTAGTTAGCTGTCAATATAACCAAACAAGCTGATGTGAACACGACTATCTAGACCTGGCCTCCGACAGTCTTAAGTTTTCACTAAAGTATGGGAGATATGACTGACTTAGCACTATGACCTTCTTGCAGAAATGGGGCCCTGAACTTACCTAGAGCTGCTCTGATATTCATCCCTAAGGCTGCAGCTTATGTCAGTACAAATTCATAAACAAGACATTACATACTTCCCTAAGAGCTGCTTTTACCCATGAAGATCTCGGTTAGAATTGGTCTCCAGTAACCCATGCTTGTCATTTGAGGCAACTAACAGGATCGGATTGTCAGGTTCGCTAACTTGGTTGACACATGTCATCAGTTGCCAATTGCGTTGATTGTCTGTCCAGACTCGATTATTTACAGACAAATGCCAAACAGCTGGATATAGCTGAGTGGGGCGTAAACTAAACTCACTCCTACTGACTAATGTCAACTTCCAGTTAATCACTTCAATGACTGGTCAAACTTTGTGAAATGTCTGACAATCAGTGACATAACTTGTAATAGGATGTCCTGTGATTTTTGTGTAGTGATAACTCTGATTTTAATGAGACTGACTCCACAATAACGGTAAATGAACAAGAAAAAAACAACTTAGAACTTAAAAGGTAAATAATCTTGTCTAGTGATGTTTAATTGCAAATTTGACGTCTTTATTGACAAAGCCGTCTTCTGTTGTTTGTTCACGCGAAGTGATACGATGTTGTTTTCTTACCCCTGGAAAAAAGTTTGACGAAAGCGTAACCCATGGATAAGACGACCCCCTTCTACAGACTGCTTTTTTTGGTCCTCAAAATTCGGCTTATAGACGGTCATATACGGTAAAACAAAATAAACTTGGACTAAACTTGAGCAGAGCAGTCACACACCTATGATGACCACTCTGGCATTATGCTGGTGGGCGAAGCACATGAGGTCCGGGCTGACATAGCCCACCATGACCACCGTGGTGACCCTCGTCCAGTCAAACCTGCTCCAGCTGCTTGCCTTGTCATGCAGGGAAAACATGAACACCTGAAACAGACAATGGTTTTGTTAGCGCTGCACTGAGAATTATCACCTATATCACTGTGGTCTGTAAATGAAGCACTTGGCCAATTAGACAGGCCAAGTCTGGATCAGACAATCCAGTGATTGACATCAGATACACCTGAAACAGTATCATGAACAACAAGCATTGTCACCAAGGTGACCTAATCCCCCGCCGCAAATTATCAAATCAAACTTAAAAAGTAATGAGAGTTTAAGATGAAGTTGTATGCCAACAACAACAACATGACTAATCAACCTCTCTTGATATCTGGCTCTTTAGTTGTTCAAACACACACATATTTTCAAGACTGACTTTGACCTTGACATGAATGTCATAGTGTATGAAATATGCAAAACTGGTACTAAAGAAATTGCTTATTGAAAAACATTCAAGGGAAGTCTTGAAAGTCTATGAAGAAAATCCAGTGAATTCAGGTTAACATGCTGAAAGAAAATCTAGTGAACGGTTCTTGAGATATCTCGCTGACAGTGACAAGAGTAAAACCTGACTGGGACCTTTCTTATACTGTGATGAACCTAGGTACCAAATATGAAAAGAATCTAGTCAACGGATCTTAAGATATTCCAATTCGTACGTATGGACGGAGCCGAATACTATATCCCCCCGCTTCGCGCTAAATGCGCGGCAGGGGATAATGAGAGCGGATGAAGTCTTCAACAACATTACATAATTGACTGCAGTATGTAAATAATCAAGTATGAATCAGACTATCCAGTGATTGTCATCATGTAAATCTGAAACAATATCAATGGTTGTTTGTTATTTATGCTGAATCTGGCAGGATTCCAGCTCTATAACAGTGGTCTGAAAGGAATAAGGAAATCCAGTGATTGACATCATGAGAATCGATCTTTGTAAATCTGATGCGATGACATGCATCAACAAAGTCAGCGATCCCAACCACTCTGTCCAGTTAGCCATGCCTTATGACAAACACTGGCTGATGGAGCCCGTCAATAACAAATTCAATTAAATATACTACCGCACATATTTGGTAAAATGTTCACGTCAGTTGTTTGGCAAAACTAAAAATTATTGATGAAGTAATTATGTTAGATCATTAACCAAAACAAAACTTCACATGGTCAAAACCTGAACATTTCATCAACTACACTGTAGAAATAGCTGACTGATGAACAAATAACTCCAGTATTCAGAGCTACAGATAACAGTCATTGAGTTATGTACTCGCTTGTGTTCATCTCAGTTGGGTTTCCTAATTTCCTTTGAGTAACCAAATAAATTGTACCCACCCTACTCAAACTCAATTGGGCATTTTGTCATTTTCCATTAATTGTGAGAATATAATAAAGTTTAAATGTTATTTATATTTGATCTGTAATATGAGTAACGATAAGAAAGACTGCAAGTTGCCTACTTCATGTCTTGAAATAGAACCTCACAATATACCTAAGTTATTTTATCTGTGCACTGGTACGTGGGCTAAAATTTGACATTTGTGTGTGTATTCATGTAAGATCAAATATAGGGCTGCGCAATATAACCGGTTTACCGTTATTTACCGGTTCAGACATGAAAACGATATGTATTGCGATACGCTGATCGGAAACCGGTATTTTGACATGCATTCGAAAACTTCGAAAAACTCGGAAATCTTCGAATATTTCGGTTTTTCACACCGGAAGTCATGCGTTAGTTTTAAAATGGCGATCCCCAACAACGAACAATTTATTGTGATGCCAAATACTAGGGCAAATGCTTCAGTATGGCAGCATTTTGGGTTGAAAAAGTTCACGGTTGATGGGACTATTCTATTAAAGCTTAATCAAGCATAGTGATTTTGTTGTGTTTTTGCTTTATAAATCAAGCATTGACTCGATTATAAGTAGTTTTTTGTTAAAAAAAACTGCTTACCATATATTGCCATACATATCGCAATATATGCTTTTACATTGCAATGTATCGCAATCTGAAAATTCTCTGTAATAACCACCCCTAATCAAACATATTAAAGGTCACATGCAACCAAAAAATCAAACATAATTAAAACACAATTATCAGTTATTCATGACATATAATATACATTGCTGGTTACGAAAAAATATATAAACAAAATTATAAGCCGCATAATCGCCAAATCGAAAAGTGCAAAATTGTGTACTTCGGTTTACTTCCCAAGAAACGAAGCAGCCAGGATACTGAACCCAGGTCAGTGTGCACTCGGGTGGGTGTGCACTCAGATGCCTTCCACGGCTAATTGTGTGTGTGGTTGAGTGAGTTTGGTTTCACGCCCGGCGCAGATGCCTTCCCATGTGGGGAATCGAACCGGATCTTGCTAACCACTGTGTACCCCATATATATAGAGAGATGTTGGGTTTTGTATATACATGCTCATTTTTTGTGTATAACATTTTGCAATCAACAGACATCATAACATGTCATGTGTTCAAGTATCACACCTGCCTGTCTGTGTAATTACATAAGGTGACAGAGACCGAACTCAGGCCATAAATCAATGCTTTTGTTTATGGTGTATAGCCTGATTGGTGTTAAGTTCAAATTGCATGTGGTCAGTGATCGGTTGTGTATTGAATATTGTCAGTAGCAGACAGGCGGGCAGACACACAGGTGTCAATAAAACAAGACATTGAGTTTTGTCTGTGACAGCGACATATCTATATCACAGTTAGAAATTCTGTCAACGCTAAATAATGACATTGCTTTTAAGTATCGAACTGAGAAAGTGTCTCGGTAAGAAGAGCGTGTGGTGAAATAGACAAATGAAATTATATAAACAGTTTATTTACTGTCATAACATATAAAAGCTCGCCTGTGAGATATCAACAAAACATTAGAAAAATAGCTCACACCAAAGCCTTCACCGGTATTCACCCGACAACCCGGCTTCCAAGCTGCGCTTGAACCTATTTACTTGCATGACGTGCTATGAGCGCCAGCCAAGCTGTTGAAACCCGTTTTCCCCAGAAAAGTCTGGGGAAAACTAGTGAAACGTTTGAACTCCGATTTCGCGCGTTTTTTTTCATCGCGTTATTTTTCAACTTTATAAGTTGAATTTGCATTTTTGACGATTTGTTTCGGTATGTCCATACCGAAAGGTATCAGAATCTGCAAAGTTGTGTTTTACGTTGCATGTGACCTTTAAGTATTTACAAAAATTCAAGCGTACTTGTATGCAACAGACTTGGTAAGAATTGAGTTTTCACATAAATATTTGCGTAATTTACGCAGATACGCAACTTATCTGTACCTCTGAGTATTTCACCAACAATGCACTTTAAGTGTCCTTTTCCCTTCCAATGGGGAAATTGAAACTTACCTGCTCACGCTGATATAGTAGATACTGTTACTAAATGTCATTGTGACTCACATCTATACATGGGACATTTAAAGGCGTAGGCTGCAGATTTGAAGTTTTGAAGAAGTATACACAACAGGCAAAGCTCACCAAACATGCCTCCAAACATTTCGGCAATTATTTCTGCATCCCAAGAGAAATGATTTTCCAGTTTTGACATTAGTTAGCAGATACAGATTTTTTTACCAAACATGAAATATTTGTTTGTCATACTTCTTTAGGTATCCTTGTTTTTTATTGAGAATACAGGCACTTATTGAAAAAATATAAACATCTACCGCACAGACTGAGGGCTGTCATATTTTGTAGCACAGAGATATCACTTTTGAGTAAAATCTGATTTTAATTAATCTGGGAATAAATTAACCATCCTTTCTTCTGTTCAGACAAGTAATATTTTGATGGATTCAAATCTGCTAAGACCAAACAAAATATTGACCTCGACTATAACTGCCAGTTGTATGACTGCCATTAAAAGGTACAGATCTAGAGCAATTCCTCGGGACTGGTTGTCGCTTTTGCTGTTTTTTCCTTGTGAGTACACAGATGATATTCCATAATTCTTGACCTTTTCACAATCTCTGTTGCCTCACCCTTAAGAGCAATTAATATTATGAGGATGTATCCTCACATTCATCAAGAAAGATGAAATACAGTTTCGTCTTTTAATTAGTTGGAAATGTAGTCATCTTTGTGATCCCTTAAAAGTTTTTAGTTATTTTACAAACTATACTCCCCATCAAAATTTTAGACTCACTAGTGTACATATAGCCACTTACTTCAGGCAACTGTTCTAAACTAAATTTTGCAAAATATACCATACTGTTTAAAGGTGTTTATACATGAACTGATGTATTGTAAAACAAATTCATAACGAAAAGATTATTGTCATGCGTTGAATAAATTATGAAACCCGGTGAAAAATGGCGAATTCTTATCAAAACTTTACACTAAAACGCAGCTGTTCACATGCAAGATATTTGCATCTACTTTTCAGCAGTCTGATGCATGATCCTCGTGCAATTAATCTGCATAAGGTTTGCAGTTGTTTCGCCCAAGTTAGTGGAGAAATTCATCTTCGTTGTAACCATATATAACATATAGTGAATGTTTTAAGTGAGTCTAAACTTTTGAAGGCTAGTATAGCTAAAAAAATGGACCTTTGTCATAATGAGGCCTGTCATAAATTCATTAACTGAGCATCATGTGAATGATGTCAAATAACATGTGTAGGTTTACCACCAAACATGGGTTACAACAAGGGAGCACCAAACATGGGTTACAACAAGGGAGTAGTAATTGCTGTATTGCATGAAATTTAGTTGCCTTAACAGAACAGAACAACATTATTGGACGAATAATAATTACATTTTGTTAATTGAATATACATTTTACCTAAGTGCAATTTTAAATCATAGCAATGGTAACAAAGGGTTGATTTAGTTTGCGGCTTCAAATAAATCAAATGTGTTTTTTTAATAGTACAGCCCAGTTGACATGACATGATTAAATATCAAGGTATAAAACACAGAAATTGGATCCAAATCAATCTCAGTCATCAAATAAAAACAATGTGACACTGCCTGCAGTGCCTGGATACTTAATTAAAATCAGACTACAGCCATCATGGTCACTTCCAAACAGTGGCATCTGATGGACATTCACCAAACAGTTTGTCAACATCCACCCTTGTGAATGCCTGTTAAACTTGGCTCAAAGTTTATGTCCGATATCCTTACAGAGTGTAGCCCAGTTAAAGTTGTAATTGCTCTTGACTTTTGTATTGAATGCTAGACGAGAGGCCATTTTTTTGGCCTTAGTCATTAGACGTTTTTCTGTCTGTCTGCCTGCCTGTATGTCATGTCACGCTCTGTTGCGTCCGCTGGCAAATTGTGTAATCGGCACCTAATGAGACCAAGGCAGCAGACTTAGACTGCCGGGTAGGCTGCAGACCCTGAAGCAAATATAGTCCAAGAAAGCCCACGCAGTCTAGAAATGTGGCAAGTCTAGATTTCCACAGCTTCAGACCTAAAATGGAAAAAGCCCAGCGCTCCTTTTCATTATACATTTGTATTTTATTTTTTTCACTTTGAGCTTTTTTTTCCTGTAAAATATGTTCATTTCAGAGACTAGTTGTTAGTCTAACTGGCGGGTTGAAACCATAGATAAACACCCCTTTACACACCTGGACTGGCTTGACGCACATACACCGGGTAACATATTCAGTGTTAAATCAACTTACTTCTTTGCGTGTTGTGTTGGTGATCGGTTTACACCATTCCGGGTCGCTGCATGGACAAGTGCTGCTGACTGTCGACACCAACATCAACGACACCACGGCATAGGTAACACGACGTTCCATCGTCTCAGATGTTAAGTTCCTGTTCGAGCGCCGATCGGCTGCAATGCCTGTCACGTGATCACATGTAAACAGTTGTCATGTGACTTTGGTCAGCTGACTGGATATGGCGGAAATATTTACACACATCTGGGGCCTGTATTCCAAGCAGTACATCGAATCTCTCGCTAAAAACACAAAGATATTCCTATAGACTACTATCTTACAACTTCTACAATTTAATAAGAAATGCAGTTTGAACGGCTCTTGAGCACAGGAGAAATGCTCGACTGGCAATGTCTTAACAACGTGGGCTCTAATAATTTGCCGTTTCTTGCGGTTTACAATTTTGTTTAAATAGAACAACGATCACCAGGACATTTAAATCCACCAGAACTTTATATGGACGACTACCAATTCTCTCTTGTTCCGTTTCATTTTATAAGGATTTTTCAAGGGAGGACAGTTTTTTTCTACAACTGTCACAGTATCGTTTAAAATTTCATTAGAGCCTATATGTTTATTTTAAAAATATCTTTCAGGTTTTTCATGACCCATAAAGACTTGTCATTCCTATTTTCCATGACCCAGGGTTAAACACACGGACATGGAAAATGAACAAGACAAATACATTAGACACAGAAATCATTGACGCATTGGAATCAGTTAAGACCATAGATAAACGATGGAAGAAATGTTTTCATTATATGGACCTTTTGTATATATGGTTATAAACATTAAAAACAAATAACAAACAAAACCCATACAATTCTTAGCCCAATTCGTTGGTTTCACCGAAACGTCTAAACCCCTTCAATTCACTCTTTCCTTCCACTATCCGTGAAGATCCGGGTTAGAATTGGTCTTCAGTAACCCATGCTTGTCGTAAGAGGCGACTTACGGGATCGGGTGGTCAAGCTCGCTGACTTGGTTGATACATGTCATCGTATCTCAATTGCGTAGATTGATGCTCATGCTGTTGATCACTGGATTTTCTGGCCCAGACTCGATTATTTACATACCGCCGCCATATAGCTGGAATAGTGCTGAATTCGGTGTAAAACAACAAACCAAACCTTTTCTTCCACTAGAAGTGAGTGAGTGAGTGAGAAGTTATACGCCTCTTTTGACTTATTCCAGCAATATCACGGCAGGGTACATCAGATATGGGCTTCACACATGGTACTCACGTGGGGACTTGAACCAGAGCCTTTGGCGTGACGAGCGAACGCTTTAAACGCTAGGCTACCCCGTCGCCCCCTTCCACTAAAAAACTAGGCGTGTTGTTGAATCGAACACGAATATTCGGCATGACAGGCGAATACTTTAACCACAAGACTACCCCACTAGCTGTTCCTTCAACCAAAGAGAAGGCATTTAAGAGAAGACGATGTCTTGGACTGTGCAATGTGCTCTTTTGCATGGAGACAATCGTTACAGACCTTGTGCTGTACGACGAACAAATGAAATTAGAATTCTTTCGTTAAGCTTTAAACAGTTTTATTCAACAATATATATATTTTACAAACAATAACATACACATCATGAACCAATTGTAACGTATAAATAAGCACCATTTCAAAATATGTTTACATATGTATTAAATAAATATTGTATATCATACATACAATGTAGATGCAGTGTTACCCTATAAATGACATGGCCGATCAACAACATGCATGTACTTGTTTTTTGTTTTGTTTTTCATTTTTCTAACAAATACGCATAAACATTTTAGCATATGTCTTGAAAGTTAAAGAGGATAAAGGTTATTATAAAGAACGGTTATAACAGTACCAGAGATACTAACATAAGTATACTTCTTCGAAAAAGGTTATGTATGTCACCCCAACTGTACTATATCATTTTAGATGAACGAAGAACAACGGAACCACTGACGTTGGATATTGAGACTGGTTGCCGACAATGGCTGGTTACTATCAATGGGAAAACACTGGGTCCGAAATATCTGCACATGGAAGTGTTTAGCTACGATGACGGAGGAAGCTGGCACAGAGGTGATCCTGTCCATCCATCCTCTAATGCTCTATTCATGGCGCCTCCTGCTCCTGCTGTTCTGAGAGGCTCTTGAGGTGCGCCCACTCTCCTGCTTTGGCTGGTGATCGAATGGGATACTGCCCACAGACGATGCTCCGCGGATTGGCGGGAACACGAGAGGAATCCTGCTTTGACGTCTGCTGGGAGCGTCTTCACGTGGACGTGATGGTGGGGTGGGGCAGATGTTCCCCAGGGACGGCAGATGTGTTGGAGAGTTAGCTCCCTTTTATCAGAGGACGCTGTCTGTTTCGAAGACATGACGACGTTGTTGTTGTCTGTGATTGGCGGCAGTACTGGCGTCTTCACATCTCTTGCTTTGCCTGTGTACGGCCGTCTTCGTGCGTGGCCTTCAGCAGGAGGAGATGGCATCTTTGGGGCCATTGCCGCTCTAGTCTCCTCAAATACAGGCGTCTGTCCATCAGTATCTAAGTAGCGGGCCTTGAGCGTGTTATTTTCTCTCTCAAGGCGAGTAATTGTATCGTTCATCCGCTTCATCTGCCTCTGGAAGGTGTCCAGTGTCTGGACTCGAGCCTTGAGGTCGGTGATCTCAGCCTGGTCCATGGTCCAGCTGAGTTTGAAGTTCTTGTATTCGACCCGGTAGTGTTCCAGATCCTTCACAATCTGAGCTTTACTTTCTCTTTCCATCCGTAGTTCCTTTCTCGTGGCCTCCAACTGCTCTCTGTACTCCTCGTTGAGGCTCATGAGATGCTCCACAAAGCTGCAACAGGGAGAAGGAACATCCGGATATAGTGTGGAAATGGATGGATTCATTTAGCATCAATCACCAAATGTGGTTATCCCCTTAAACAGAGAGTGTTGGGTTAACAAAGTGACAACCTACCTTTCTTCTACGTTGATTGTTTGGCTCTTTGGACTTTCCTCTCTTTTCACTGATTCACTGACACCCGACTGAACTATATTTGTCTCTGTGTCATCTTTGGCTTGACTACAAGTGCCAGCATCTGAAAGATTTAGAAAGGTACATTGGTGAAAGAGGTGATAGAGAATAATATACTGTTTCCTTGTCTCTCTCTCGATAACTCTGTATTTATTTTGTCAGTAGACTGTTCTGACTGTTATCTAATGTTTGATGCCCATCAATGTTCTTGAAAGACTTGTATGTGTCTGACCATGCACCATGGAGTCACTCACCGTTATCTGGGGTAGGGGTCGTAGATGGCGACTCCGGGATGGGGGGACAGGACCTGTGTCCCTGCCCTCACGGCTAACCTGTGTAGATACCGACCCATCTGCGGAACATAGATATCATATAAATATGTGGGAATTTGACTTCTTGTGTTCTATTTGTTTTTTTGGTTTTCCATGTGTGTTGCATCACTCACCTGTTAGGGTATTTGCGAAGAAAAATATCCTGTCAGTTTTGATTTTACATTTGCGTAGGATCTATGAGGCAGACACTAAACGTATTTGGAAAGTACCTTCTTTCAAAAGATGACGTTACAATCATAACATATGAACTAATATGTTAACTGCTTGGCAAAAGTAATTATACACTTGAACATTGAAAAATAAACAATAAATAACATCATTTTAAGAATGTAACTGCGACAAAAAGTCGCGGAAACTCTGCACATGTATACTCCAAAACAGTGACATCGTATGAAAAACGTAACCATCGACTAACCAATCATTGTTTGCTTCAATTTCAGCAACAATCTAACATGGGTGTGTATTTCTTTTGCCCCGGCGTTTAGGTAATGCAATTCTAGATCATGTTATAGTTACATCGAAATATTGGTTAATATTGTACTTGAGAAGTACATGAGAAAACCGTCATCTCATAACTTCGGCAAGCATGTAGCATGTAGGATAAGGAAATAAGAGCCTCTCGTCTAACAATGAAGCCGTCAAAGTAGCTAAGAACTCTCTGACATCTCCTTACAGACGCTTTTCTAACATATGATAAGGAAATAACAGTCTCGTCTAAAATAGGCTAAGTCAATTAACAGCAGTAGCAGCAACAACAACAATTTATAAAATAAGTATAAATAATGACACAGAATAAAATAACTGGAATTTTCTTTGAGGCTTGAGGCTCATTGCCATTCATAGACAATTTCAAACACATTTTGACTGCCAATTTCTCATTAACTTTCACATATGAAACTTACAAGAAATTGCAAAAATAGGCAAATAACCATTCTGTCACCTTAGAGATTTCTCAATGCATTTCATTTGCAATCTCAAACTCATTTGAATGATGCAACTTATAGATATGAAAATGAATATTTCGGAACATTACCGTTCTGTCAACTTACTGAACACTACTTACCACTGTGGTGGCACTACACTGATGCACTTAAAGTCTTCTGATATCACTTCCGGGGCTGTGTTTTGTAAACCTCAACCGAAACACTGCTGCTTGTACGACGTGGGACGACTAACCACGCCTCTGCGGTGTGATTGTTATGACGTCATATCACGTGATACGTCGCTGAGGAGGAAGTAGAATACACCGCGCGCCGAAATCATATTTCCCGCGCGTATAACTCTAGGCGCGCTCACTGGGAACTTCACCATCAGTGTCATTTTCGGGGACTCGACGCTGGCTAAGCGGTAATCGTAGCACTTTTTTTGTAGTCACCTGAGTGTCTGTCAGTACCGAATGAGACGATAAGCTTGTTCAAAGACCGTTTACATATTTAAATATCTAAGAAGTTGACGTCTCAGTTTTCAAGCAGTGTGCATGGACTAAACTAGATGATGCTATTTCACGAATTTAGCACTTTAAACTTTTCCATGTCTACATTTTGAATATGACACTAACACGGTTGAATATTCTTTCCTGAAACATAAAATATCAACAAGAAATGGTACGCAACTTTTATTCACAAATTATCAGTGAACTTTCAGTGACGAGAATCTTTCTTGGACAATAATCAGCCTCATTTACCTGATCTGTGTCTGATTTATACACCACGAGACGTTCTCTTGTACAAGATTTGGGGCTGAAGGTAACGATTCAGCTTCCAATAGATATCTCATCTCGAACAATAACCAGCGTGTAGCGTTGAATACCTATTGAGCTGAACTGTGTAAGTCAATCCCCCACAATGTGATAACAACAACATGAATAGCGGAGGTTGAGGTTGAGTTGGGCTTTACGTCACATCGGCATTATTTCAGCCATATAGCGACGAGAACAAGTCTGCATTCATGAACTTGAGTTTTAGTTTCAAAACACATCTATTCATCACATTCTTGGGGTTTAACGTCCGTTCGAGATTATTTCAACTTACCACCCACCCACCCCTTTCCCCCCGTTTACCCTCGCACATAACCTGTCTGATGTAAAATAAAATGCAGTCGGCATAGTAGAACCAGTCGCCTGAGACGCCAACTTTTAGTGTTTGGAATGAAATTTGTTTAAAAAATAAATTTAATGCATGCTTTGATTCTTGTCATGTGAGAGTGAGTATACTTTTACGCCGTTTTTTAGCAATGTTCCAGAAACATATCTTTAGGGGACACCCGCGATGTGATCCATACATTGCACAATATGGGAACGAACCAGGGCCTTTGACGAGCGAATGCTGTAACCACTGCACCACCCCTCTGCCCAGTACAGAACTGTTTGTTCCATTGTGCTATGATGTCCTTCGATGTCGGTGGCTTTGCAGAGACCCAAATCAGGAGTGAACATTATATATTTGAAACAGTTTAGTTATCGTGAAGATGTCCAGCTTTCGTATGATAGGAAACCGTTTCCTTAATGTAAGAGGCACAGCAACTGGAAACATATGATTGTGGGTTCGAATGAAATCTGTAAAACCATTTTATGTATGCTTCCATTCTTGCTCAGCGAGAGTGAGTATGCTTTTACACCGTTTTCCAGTAATACGTTAAGGGACACCCGCAATGGGATCCAAACATTGCACAATATGGAAAGGAACCAGAGCCTTCGACGTGACGAGTGAACGCTTTAAATAAACTGGGCAACCCTTCCGCCATGGTAACAATTTGAATATTATTGCAGGCGGCTGTGAACCCCTCACTCACTTTGCACCTGTTTCTGGGACATCGATGTAGTAGTTTTAGTCACTAGTAGAACAAATCAGAACGCCTTCTTAAAACATAAATATTTTATTCAACATTTCGAATAAAAATGTTACAAAATATAACATAAAAACAGAAGTGTTTTTTTCTTTTTACATCAGCACCATTTTAAATGTTTGGATTTATATAAATAACAAATATAGAGCATGTAAACAATATAGCGATAAAATAGACTAACTAAATTCAAAACAAAACTTTGTTTGAAATATTTGGGATAATATTCGGAAAAAAACTATTTCCATCACAGATTGATAATCACTGATGCACAGAGTTGCACGTTTATATTAATGCCAACACCTGAACACACGTTTAGAGGTATGAAGCCTACATGAGACCTTGAGGTGTGCAGATATACACAAGTTGCTGGAACTGCGAGCTGGTGGGGGACAGGGTGTGAAGGTTTGAGCCATGTCGACACAGTGAGCATGTTTGGGCAGGTGGCGAGGAGTCTATGTGACCTGTTGGATCATGGAGTGGGTAGTACTTAAAGGTTGTGACATAGCATGACAACTGGATGACACGAATGAGCAACAGTTGAACGAGAAATGTTGCTTTCAGATCTTAATCCACCCATCCATGTTATCCATGCTCCTTGCCAATGTCCATTTTATCAGCTAATGTTAGGCCAAGTCCACCCTCCCTATCCATGTCACATCCTGTCCATCCATCCTCTTTATTCATGGCGCCTCCTGCTGCTCTGAGAGGCTCTTGAGGTGCGCCCACTCTCCTGCTTTGGCTGGTGATCGAATGGGATACTGCCCACAGACGATGCTCCGCGGATTGGCGGGAACACGAGAGGAATCCTGCTTTGACGTCTGCTGGGAGCGTCTTCACGTGGACGTGATGGTGGGGTGGGGCAGATGTTCCCCAGGGACGGCAGATGTGTTGGAGAGTTAGCTCCCTTTTTATCAGAGGACGCTGTCTGTTTCGAAGACATGACGACGTTGTTGTTGTCTGTGATTGGCGGCAGTACTGGCGTCTTCACATCTCTTGCTTTGCCTGTGTACGGCCGTCTTCGTGCGTGGCCTTCAGCAGGAGGAGATGGCATCTTTGGGGCCATTGCCGCTCTAGTCTCCTCAAATACAGGCGTCTGTCCATCAGTATCTAAGTAGCGGGCCTTGAGCGTGTTATTTTCTCTCTCAAGGCGAGTAATTGTATCGTTCATCCGCTTCATCTGCCTCTGGAAGGTGTCCAGTGTCTGGACTCGAGCCTTGAGGTCGGTGATCTCAGCCTGGTCCATGGTCCAGCTGAGTTTGAAGTTCTTGTATTCGACCCGGTAGTGTTCCAGATCCTTCACAATCTGAGCTTTACTTTCTCTTTCCATCCGTAGTTCCTTTCTCGTGGCCTCCAACTGCTCTCTGTACTCCTCGTTGAGGCTCATGAGATGTTCCACAAAGCTGCAACAGGGAGAAGGAACATCCGGATGTAGTGTGGAAATGGATGGATTCATTTAACATCAATCACCAAATGTGGTTATCCCCTTAAACAGAGAGTGTTGGGTTAACAAAGTGACAACCTACCTTTCTTCTACGTTGATTGTTTGGCTCTTTGGACTTTCCTCTCTTTTCACTGATTCACTGACACCCGACTGAACTATATTTGTCTCTGTGTCATCTTTGGCTTGACTACCAGTGTCAGCATCTGAAAGATTTCGAAAGGTACATTCGTGAAAGAGGTGATAGAGAAGAATATACTGTTTCCTTATCTCTCTCTCGATAACTCTGTATTTATTTTGTCAGTAGACTGTTCAGACTGTAATCTAATGTTTGATGCCCATCAATGTTCTTGAAAGACTTGTATGTGTCTGACCATGTACCATGGAGTCACTCACCGCTATCTGGGGGAGGGGTCGTAGATGGCGACTCCGGGATGGGGGACAGGACCTGTGTCCCTGCCCTCACGGCTAACCTGTGTAGATACCGACCCATCTGCGGAACATAGATATCATATATATACATGGGAATTTGACTTCTTGTGTACTATTTGTTTTGGTTTTCATCATCACCTGTGTATTTGTATCCTGCATCACTCACCTGTTAGGGTATTTGCGAAGAAAAAAATATCCTGTCAGTTTTGATTTTACATTTGCGTAGGATCTTGGTGTGCGATTGTGATGACGTCATGTCACGTGACATATCGTCGCTGAGGAAGTAGACATTCGTGACCAACTCGTGTTATTCCGGGACAAGCCGAATAGCGAGGTTACGGAAAGGGGCGAGTGGTGACGAATGAGGAAGTAGAATGCAACGCGCATCAAAACCATATTTCCCGCGCGCTTAACTGTTGTGGGGCTGGACTGGGTGACCGACAGTAGGAGCTAAATTGATTGAAGGAACATAAAATCCACTATTTATGCCCGCAATGTGAGAGACGATAAGCTTGTTCATAAACGGTTATAGTCCGTTTGGGTTCAAATGAGAACGACAAATGATTAAATAACTCGAAATTGGGATAAGTGCACAAAACATAAATAAGACACATGGTCCTGAAACCTCTGTACCCATGCAACAGGATATGAAATCTGACTTTTGTTTATCGATCACGAAAAAAGTTGTTTGAGAAACCATAATATTGTGCTATTTTAACTCTTCACACCTGGGGGTGACAAATGGCTGATGGAATAGCGCCTGACACGCTATCTCATCTCACCTGGCTGTGCTGAGTTGCACCTGAATGTGTGCTGGTGCTGTTCCACCAGCCGTTGGTCACCCCTCGGTGTGCACAATATTACATGATGGTTTCGCGATCGATCAAAAAACGTCAGATTTCAGATCCTGTTGGGTACAGTGGTTTCAGGACCATGTGTCTTATTTATGCTTTGTGCACTTATCCCAATTTCAAGATATCTAATCATTCATCGTTCTCATTTGAACCTGAACGGGCGATAACACGTTTGAATATCTTCTGGTTGTACAAAACTGTGACGTAGGGAACATTTAGTAGAAGTACATTTTGAGTATTGTACAGGAAATGGTGCGTATTTTCTTTACACAATTAAAAATAGGAAACGTTGTTAGTGTTTTTTCATAACATTAGTCTTCCGACTGTGTGTGTGTTTTCTTGTACTATTCGGACTTGTGCCGCTTTTATAGATACGGACAGACGGTTATAACGAACAGTATATTTTGTGTAACTTCTTTGAGTGACATTTAGAAGTTGGTGTGATGGGCAACGCATATTGTTCTAGGGATATACTTCTTTCTTGCAGCATATGCGACATTTCGGTGTCGATGCTTACACCGTTATCAAGCAAGTAATTAGTCCATTGCATTATGTTCACTTTTAATTTTTCGTTAAAAAACTTTGAGATTTGTTTCTGTGTGTGTTTTTTTGCATTCCTTAGGGTGTACTTTCTACAAAAACCAATGTTTCCAAATTGTCACTTTCTCTTTTAGTGAATAAAACTACATTATAGTACAGTACTGTGGATTAAGCATTTATATACATGCGCGCAGTAATGTTTGTGCAGTAATGTACATTCTGATAATACTAAATGATCTTTGCACTTTACTCATGTATATAAATGTGTATAGTGTTAGCATGTTAACAGAAACGTCACACCGTCTACTCAAGTGTCTGAAGAATGGCTGTCTGAAGAATGGGAGGACACCGTTCCATCTATTGTAATAATGAAGTTGTATATCCATCGAAATATCTCCCTTGTTTAAATTTGTATATATTATTTAGACCCTTTGCTGTATATTTCAGTCGAAATGCATGTAACTAAAATTAACGGTCCGTTGAGTTCTGAAGTTGCAGGGACACCCAATTCAGCTTATTGACTAGAAGCCGACCAATCCTTCTTACATCCTCATTTTGGGAATTGCCATACGCATCAATGCATTTAGGTTTCCACTTCACACACTTACTTTGTCTAATAAGTCTACTTTCCCGTAATTTTGTTTTTGCTTGTGGTCCACACATCCCACGAGTTCCACAGTTGAATGTTTCAGTGTAAATTGAGCGGGACACAGTAGCTAGAAATAAGGGCTAAATGGTGTTAAATGTGAACTATATTTACAGTATCATACTATATCTGAAACCTGTGAAAAATAAAGTCAGGTGAATGCAGCTTAGTCGTGATTCGTTTCTGTATCAGTTGTCTTAAAGTCGACTAATACTAGTAGATTTCATCAGCAACGGACCGGTAACATTTATTGTGTAAGAGTCGTGTAAACACAGCATTAGACAGTTATATCAGACAGTGTCAGATTTATGTGGAGGGAAGGTTGAAATAATACAGGTTTCAGACGTAGAGTAATCAAGGCGAACAAGGATTCAAACCCAGGATAATTGTGTTCCTGTAATGCTAAAGATATGCAACTGTTTGATCCAATTTCACAATATATGCTCAGCACCATGGTGATGAAAAAGCTCCGATTTCACCAGAAATGGAAATATTAAATATCTATCCAATCTAAAAAAATGCAAAATGTCTGGGATGTTGCAGAAAATATGTTTTATTTACTCATCTAGCACAACAATGTTTCAGTGTAGGATCCAGTAACAAGAACAAAATACTGTAAATAAACAAATTGCACACCAGCATTCTGAACCCTCACCAGTTTAGACCAAACTTCTTGAAGAATTTGAGTGCACATTACCAGGTTGAAGATCTAAATTTAACTTGGAGTAGAGGGAAGAGAACATCTCTGAAAATCAGACAGTGAATGCAGTTTTGGGGTGCAGTCATATTACAATCACATCACACCTGATTGTAAGTCTTGACAAGACAGTCTGTGCCGAATACCTTTGAGTCTACTATCATGAATATGACACAAGACATCATTTTCAGTTAAATAAAGTGTTATATGATGATACTTTCATTTAAACTTAAAGATTATTGACAAGTGGCCACAGACAAAGGGCTCCAAAACATCATGAGAGGAATACAGAAGCCAGTGCTATGTTCCTCTTGCCAATCAGAATACTCCCAGATTTTAACATAGACAATCTTAGTGCTAATATCACTTTGTGAAATGTGACCCTTCTCATTATCGGTCTACTCTGATCATGGGCGGATCTTGAGGGGGTTGCAGGGGTAACTTGATTGGACTTCATGAATATGTGCAACCCCTCCCATTCTCCCAAATCCTGGATCCGCCCTCTGCTGATGATCAGCATGACACATCTGCACTGACACAGGATTCTACAAAGCAGGAAACATTTCAATGTTCAAAAGAGAATTCCATGAAAATCTTGAGAAAGAGATTTCATCCTGTTTTGTGCACTCAAACACAACAAGTATAGCCATGGACAACCTATATTAAATGCTGATTGAGGCAAGAACATAAAATCATAGTGTTAAAAATTCATGTCATAATAAATCATGTATGTTAGTGTATGTAAATTGAACAATTCAGTAAAATTTGATGTTAACAGAGTACTATATAAATTATATACTGAACTAAATATAAATGAACTACACAGCTGCTGCTTTCATGTCAACACGAGTAAAAGTGTGCAGTGTGAAACAAATGGGACTCTCCTTTGTTTCTCTTATTATTCTCAACGAATCTGTTAGACTCGTCTTTAGAATATGAATAGTCAAAACGTTGGATAGTTGCATGCAGAGATTTGAAAGTTTTCAGAATCTTGTCAGCAATATTACAGCTATAAACAGTGGTTTACAAGTGATTAAGTCAAACAAGGGGATGAGAGCATGAGTGACAAACTGGTAACACACTTTGACAACTGGATCACAAACAGCTTGCTCTTACTCAAACAGGCAAAAACAGCCTGTTCTTGTAAAGGTATTTGGGATCTATTGAGACCTAGATTCCAGATAAAGCAAAAATACAAGAAAAGAAAACCCAAATGAAGTTGTCTTCGATGTTTGATGTTTGGCCACTTTGATAAAACATGAGACCATGGGTATTTGCTGACCAAAAGAACCATAATCAAGGCGCATTTGGGATTAAAGCCAAGAGAATCCAATCAGATCAAAGGGAGGCAACTCTATTATGCCCAAGTCACTGCTCTCATAGATTTAAGTGGCAATGGATCTGAATGGATAGAAGTTATGGCATGTTTACAGGAACAATAGCCATGTTGATCAACCAAACCTACATTCGACACCAGAATACATCAAGAAACAACTGAAATATTAAACAACAACCATAAAACACAATATGTTGACGGAATGATAAAATTTCAGTTATTAACACATTGTCAGAGTATGGATCAAACAATATATTAATGAAAATATTCTGTAAACAAGAAATTGCATGAATGTTTTGGCATACATCAAATGATTTCCTGCATGAACAAAGAATAAAGAACATATTCAAATTGTCTGGAATAGGAATGTAACAGTAACCGATTAAACCCAATGTAATGCCAATGTGTAAAGGAAGTAAACACATATCATAAAACAACCAAGGCATGGAATGGATGTAAATTAACATTGCACACTGACAGAATGAACAGATTTATTATGGCAAGGCTGTACTTCTCAATTTTCACACCAATAAACCTTCACAGAATTGCAATCTATGTGGCCTTTCAACGGTTAACTTTTCTTCAGAAAACAGATGATGATTATGGAGGTAGAGTGAAGAACATTATTCAGACTACATGAAGGATAATACATCACAAACTTGGACCACAGATCTACTGTAAACACTAATGAATACTTTGGGTATGTGTGAAACTTAATATGATACCATGTTATAACTTACACGTTATGATTGAAAACACTGGCTGAAATAAAACATATATTTCAGTGCTCACATGAATTTCAATTTGCATGTTCTATGTTATACCAAATCTAAGAGAATTACTCTGTGCCAACACTAATAATTTTTCAGTATACAAACTTGACTCAACAATAATTGAATAGTATAGGAATAAGTGTTAAATTGCAAACCAGATTCAAGAGAGGCAACTCTGTACAAGAAGAGGATATTACAGAAAGAAAAGTACAGTCAATAGTTAGTTGTATTGCATTGTGGATATTATGATACACATATAATTGCACATGAGTAAATAGTAACAGATTTCTACAATAGGGAACAGACATGGACCTATTTACATATAAATATATATTTGAGCTTTGTCTTAGACCACATGTACATTATTTACAAACAATGCAACCTTGAAGGTTGAACTGGGACACACTAAAATACTAATTCCATCTTTTCAGAAGTGTATGGAATGAGACAGAAGACTTGAGCTAAAACACTACATGACCATAAGAGATAGGATATATAAGAGATATTACAGCCATAACAATACCCTAACTCTGCAGGTATCAGTCAGTTAATGCAATACTTTCCCCACAGAAAGCTGGAAATAAAGATTAAGGGGAATCTTGGGTCGTTGTAGGGGGCACTGTATCTTTTCAAAAGGCCAACTAGGTTCTTTATTTACTAATATGGTAAGAGTGCTCATCTTCTATCCTTTGTTTTGAAAACTGCTGATTTCACACAGAACCATGTCCTATTTCACAGCCGAGGGAACAATAGATTTACAAACAGCTGTACAACTATTCACAAAATAATAGAAACAAAGACGAAATATTGAAGTAAATACTGCAACACTTATTGCACTAAATGAAACTTATAGTTCTAGATAAAACAAGCATTTTAAAGAGCATTTACTAAACAGATGGCATTAAAAGAACTGCTTCTGTCTTCATGTGTTCTATGTCCTGCCTGTTACCTTTCTTCTCACTCTTCCTAAACTGTAATACCCATGTCGAACTATAGTTTACATATCGTGAAAAAATAGTTCCATGCATTTTTAATTATTATGCCTCGTAATAAAATGTAATCCAGACAACACAGTAGCAAGCAGTCCAAAAAAGGACAAACAAAACAAATATATTCTTTGGATGGACATACTGATTGTAAAATACGGATTTCTCTAAAAATCATATAACATTTAATACATATATCCCATAACAAGCAGGGTGACAGCTCAGATAGTAACTGCAACAAATAAGAGATAGGGGAGTAGTATGCACCATTCAGTCTCCATGTGCCCTGTCCCAAAACGACACAATGCTAGAGATGATTATACCTCCCATACGTTCATGCTGACCTAAAACTCTAGTCACAGTAGTTTAACATCACTTTCAGGAACAGGGCCTAGATTTTCGAAGCTCAGTCACTGTGGACACTGTTATTCAGACAATCTTAGCTTCCAGCTTTTCTAACAGTTAGTCAGTTGCTATGGTCTTAGCATCAAACAGTTACAGTTGCTATGGTAGCATCAAATACACTCTCCTGCAACATTATGGTCCACAGCCTCTTTTAGAAATACATCAACTAATCATACTGAAAAAAATAGATAACAAAAATCTCTGCAAACAGGGCAGCTCTCCATCTACTTATTTGTGCTTCTTGTAACTGACTAATTCTGCGCATGTTGGAATGTTTTCACATTCTACAGTGGAAAGTATATGACGAATCCTGCAGCAAAGTCATTTAAAGATTAAAAGGACTCTCCTATCTACTCATCATTTCACAACCCTGAACATTTCATTAGAATTTGTACTGTGTAGGTTACAGGGTTTCACAAACATGTAAAATCCACAACCAATAGTCAACTAAAAGCTCCCTTTAAGTTGTCCAAAATGCATTTTTATCCCCCGCTATGCGCTAAACACATTAGCATTAGGCTCCGTCCGTCTGTCACTACGTACGTGTATGAATTGGAATATCTTAAGAACCGTTAACTAGATTCTTTTCATATTTGGTACCTAGGTTCATCACAGTATAAGAAAGGTCCAAGTCAGGTTTGGTGACCTTGACCTTCTTTTCAAGGTCACAAGGGGACTTTAACGTTTTACCTGCATGTTAAGCTATCTCAAGAACCGTTCACTGGATGTTCTTCATATTTAACACCAAGTTTTATCTAGGGTCAAGGTGCAAGATTTCAGCATATTAACCTACATGTTATGCCCAGTCAATGGAGTTTCTTCATGACCTTCATCACAGGGCCCAGTTTTTGGTGACCTTCAATTTTCAAGGTCACAGAGACACTTTGAAAATGTCAGCATGTTAAATTGCATGATAAGATAGTCAGCAAGATATCGCAAAAAATATTTACTGGATTTTCTTCATATTTGACACCAAGCTTCATCTAGGGAAGGCCCAGGGCCCAGACAATTTTGGTGACCTTCACATTATTTTTAGGGTCACGACGCCACTTTGATGATTTCAGCATGTTAACCTGAATTGTCAGCAAGATATTTTAAGAACGGTTCACTGGATTTTCATCATAGACTTTCAAGACTTCCCGTGAATGTTTTTCAATAAGCAATTTCTTTAGTACTAGTTTTGCATATTTCATACACTATGACATTCATGTCAAGGTCAAAGTCAGTCTTGAAAATATGTGTGTGTTTGAACAACTAAAGAGCCAGATATCAAGAGAGGTTGACTGGTCATGTTTTTGTTGACATTTAACTTCATCTTAAACTTTCATTACCTTATAAGTTTGATTTGATCATTTGCGGCGGGGGATTATGTCACCTTAGTGACAATGCTTGTTTACTTTATGACACACAGTATTCAGTTTTGGGATACTCTTAATCAAATCACAGGTTTCCCATACCCTTCTTCTCACAGGGCTCAATATCTCTCCAATAACAACAATACATACATGTATGTACTGAAGATAAACAAATAACAGATGACTGAGCTGACAACAAGAGAGTAAACTAAGCTATACAAACTTACTAAGCCATCAGAAAGAAAGCAGTGTCAGCTAATAACACTGGAATGTGGAGAGGAGAATACAAGGATGGAAATGAATATAATCAAACCCAAACAACCAGCAACAGAGTTCTGTACGCTTGTGATCAAACAATCACAAGTGTATTTATGGGTTTCTAACCATAACAATCATAAACACTCTTTGTTTAGTACATTTCATGTAATTCAAGACCTTGCTTCCACTGCCTGCATGACATTCAAGTTTGACATCGTCTCAATATAAGGCATACATATATGACTATGTTAACATATGGGTATCAGATCATAGTGGAGATCATTCAATTTTCAATATTTTCTGCAATACCTAGGTTGAATAAAGCTAAATTGCTCCATTCACCAGTTTTATTAAAGCAGAAGATCATATACTGGACATTCCCCGTCCACAATTTAGCTATGAAGTTGCCTCATTTTGATTCTAGGTGACTGACCTCCATGGATAATGTACAAAAAGGGTTGACGATAAGTGATTGCGAGTTATTATACAATTCAGACATTCCTAATGACAAAAACAACATGGATTTCTGGAATTTACATTATTACTATACTACTCATAGACCAAACATTTGACAATTTTTGGCCCTTAGCAAATATTGAGTAGTATATAACATTATGGGTGATTACCAGTGTTCAAATCTGATAAAAAATGCTGTCCGTTTACCTGTTCAGTAGAGGAAGAAAGTAGAAGTTAGTTCTTTCTGAACATAAAGTCTTGGACTCACGATCTAACAGTTTTGAACACTGGGATGAAGTGAAGTTTCAAATACAAGGAATCTGAAAGTCATGGATGTACAACTCCCGTAATCACTTCATCCTAGTCATGTCTACAGAACAATAAGATTAAGTCACTGATGCTATGTACAAATGTCATTGAAGTGTTGATATCACAATTGTAAGATTGACTAGAACAGACAGGAGCACGACCTTCCACCTATACCTCTAAACAATTATGCATATATGCTGTTCAGTACATGTAATAAACTTTTGGATATTTCTAAATAGGTCATCAAGACAAATTAGGTGAAATAATTTTGTCCTAAATTGAATCAAGTCACCTTAATAGTCATTAAAAGAGATTTATGATGTAGGTTGAGATCCCATATTTAATGTATCAAGTGCTATAGTGACCTACTGACTGACTGACACCGTTTTTACGCCACCTTTAGCAATATTCCAGCAACATCACGAACACCAGAAATGGGCTTCACACATTGTGTAAAATAATTCTTCTTCGCTGAAAACACTTTAACCATTAGCTACCCCACCATATTCCTGATTTTGCATCTGTACAAGAAATTTGGAAGTGTTGGAACAATTAGTTCTTGAGATATTTGCTGTCAAGCGTTGAAATTTTGTAACAAATTATTTCCCTTTGCTATTGGGCCAAGAGCCTAGATTTTTAAGCAATATCTACACCTGGGTGCGCATCTGGGTGATTTTTGTATCGAGCATTGGTTTAGGAGTTATGTTTGGTACAAAAATCGGCAGAATAATAAATAATAATAATAATAATAATCCGAGGCGATTACATAGGTCTCCTGCCTAGAGGCAAGGAGCCCTAATAAAGTCGCTTACTTTTGAGTTTTTCCGGTTTTAACCCCTGGACATGGTGACCTACAATAGTCTCATCCATCATACATAATTCTGCACAAGAAGTGTTATAGTTTTAGTACTGCACAGCTGACCATGAACAACAATGATGTATTTAATTTTAAACACCTTGATTAATATCCAAACAGAAAGTACTGTGAAAATGATATTAACTAAATATTTTTCAAAAACACTGTTTTTTCCTCATTTAACTTGAAATGCTTATGAAGTGATGTGAAGGGTGCCACATTTCAGAAAATGAAATCATGATAATCAATCGATAAAATATGGCATATCTTATATTTTGTGTACAAAGGCCCTGATCTATGTCCAGACCTTTTTAAATCTGTGTCCAACTGTCTACTACACCTGAAGTTCAATTATCGTTATATTGTCCTGCCAAAGCATATTGTCATATTGATGGAAGATCGTCAGTGGAGGGCACCTGTTTCTGTCTTGTTCTTCATTACCTATCATATCCCTTGGGGTCGTTAATGCTTGGCTTGGACTTGATCTGTATACAAGTCAACCTTTCATTTTGTCTGTGGAAGAGTAACCATCAATAGCAAATATGCCACAGACTGGATACTCTGCCATGGTTCTGAGGCCAAGCTGACAGCCATCGAAGGTCTCCTGCCACTGCTGCTGTCTGAACACTTGTTACTTTATACACGTGGTGGTTGAAAGTCTACTGGCAATCAACAACTACTTTTCTTTAGAATGCATCCCGGATGTTGCTAAAATTCCGAACTGCCAGATCAACAGGCAGCTTGAAATTGACTGCATTGAGGCGCTCCAAGGACTTCAGTGTGTCATCAAAACCTGAAACATCAGAGTAGAGATTTAAATATTGAGCTGAAAGATTGAGTGACTGTTGTACATCGGCAATAATATTCCAGAAAAATGTTATCTCTTGTGTTACTAATATAGCTTAAGATACTTAAAACCACTGGTTGATAAACTGACAACATGTTCCCACACTGTAACTGTCAGATGTAAGCAGGGCGGTGGGGTAGCCTAGTGGTTAAAGCGTTGCTTGTCACTCCGAAAACCCTGGGTTTGATTCTCGACATGGCTACAATGTGTGAAGCCCATTTCTGGTGTCTCCTGCCATGATATTGCTGGAATATTGCTAAAAGCAGCGTAAAACTAAACTCACTCACTCTCTCAGATGTAAGCTCTTATATATTAAGATATGCATGGGGACTCAGGGACCTATCATAATTAAGACTTGTTTTTATAGGGATAAAAAGGTTATGAAGATCAAATCTGGAGGGTTCCTTTCCTAAAATACACCCAAGAATGAACTGCAAATCAAAATAAAGCAAATATGTTAAGCTTGTGATAATCTATTGTTCAGCCTCAATTTAACCAACTGTTTGTTGTTGAAGGGCATCCCCTATTTTTCTAGACACTGTTCATGTCAACTGCATCATTGCAATAGTGTGCATTCTTCCCTTTTTGCCACATGGCTTTCAACCCATGGGAATTCTGTGATAGAAATGGTCCCTGCAACCTATGACTGTTTTAAGAGGCAGCTATAAAGTGGTTGGGCTCAGTAGCTTGTTTGACTGCGTGTCATCGTACCCAGGAGGCTTGGGTCATTGCTCTTCACATCAATCACTGGTTTGTGAGGTCAAGATGAAATGATTTATACCCAGCTGGACTGCTTCTCAGAACAACATTAATCAACAACAAAAAAATCACACAATAGTGTGAACATTTCTTTTATAGTTGACATTTTAACTATACAAATATACATACAAGATTTATGTCAATACCTATTACCCACAAAATCTATACTAACCTTCTTAATATTGATTTGACATTGGCTGTATTGTATTTCTTAGGTACAAAACATAAAGATCAATACAGAACGACAACACCATCAAAACTAATTGAAGATCAAAAAACATATTCCAGAACTGTATAGTATCTGCTGCATGGAACATTTTTCTATACTGATATAAGTTCTTATTCTTGAAAAAAAACGACAGGCGGATCCGTAAAATAAGAAATAAAATTGGTCTGGCCTAAACAACAACAAAAAAATCACACAATAATGTGAACATGACTTTTATTGTTGATATTTTAACTATACAAATATACATACAAGATTTATGTCAATACCTATTACCAACAAAATCTATACTAACCTTCATAATATTGATTTGACATTGGCTGTATTGTATTTCTTGCATACACAACATAAAGATCAATACAGAACAACAACACAATCAAAACTGCTTGAAGATCAAAAAACATATTCCAGACCAGAACTGTATAGCATCTGCTGCATGGAGTATTTTTCTATACTGATATAAGTGCCCAAATCACAACTACTATAATACACTGCTGGACATCATTACAAACTACATCAAATATGTTGTCTGCAAGAAGTCAACACTCATTATTACCTGTTCTCAAAATAGATATTTATACTAAAACATATATTGCCCTTATGTTTGTATGTCACAACAGCTGGTAAATGAGTGATTGATATTTCCACAGTAACACAGCTGGGGAAAGCCGTCGATGAGCTTCATACACTGAACACAGGTGGGGGATTAAACACAGATCCTTGGTTGGATAAGAAATAGATTTAACCAACTGTATAACAGGCATATTCCAGCAATATCACTGGGGACACCAGAAATGGGCTCCACTGGTTGGATAAGAAATAGATTTAACCAACTGTATAACTGGCATAGTAGTCACTGGGGAATTATTCGAATCTGTGAACAATAATTCCACTGCTTTGTAGGGAGGCGCAATATAACCGGTTTACCGGTTTTTACCGGTTCAGACATGAAACCGATGCGTCTTGCGATATGCTGATCGAAAACCGGTATTTTGACTTGCATTGACTTCGTAACACTCGGAAGTCTTCGGACATTTCCTCGTTTCATTTGTGCCAAATATTATTTACATTTTTATTTTGTACGATTAAAGTTTTTATTAAAGCTTAATCAAGCATAGTGATTTTGTTGTGTTCATGCTATATAAATCAAGCATTAACTCGATTATAAGTAGTTTTTGTTTAAAAATACTTTTTACAATATATTGCAATACATATCGCAATATATGCTTTCGCATCGCAATATATAGCAATATGAAAATTCTCTGCAATACCCACCCCTACTGCTTTGATAATCCAATTTTAAGCCCCAAGACAGAGCAGGAGATAGAAGATTGTCATAGTTACCTGTCCTGGCAATGTAGCTCCAGTCTTGGTAGTACAGGTCGATCAGTGTTTGTGTGCGGAACAGGAGGCGGAGCCATGTAGCCAGCTTCTTCTCACTGTCAATGATAACATGCATAATAATGGTGATAAAATCCAACCAATCCACACAGTAAGGCATCCTCTAAAGCTACAGTATTACTATGGTCAATGAATACATCTGCACTTGATTTTCACGTTCAGCTTCATGGGGAGTGTACAACTCATGCTGCCTGTGAGGTTCCAGAAGAATGACAGTCACATTTCTTCCTACCAGCAGCAATACTTCCAAAGGAAATCATTCATTCAACATAATTTAGAAGCCTATTTCTGGAAAAAGCATGTCATATTATTGTGAAGATGTCTGACAACTAAGTTTTTTTTTTTCTATATCTTGTTTTAAAAAACCACAAATGTCTTTACAACAATCAATATTAGGACAATATTAGGACAATAACAACTTTTGTTGCACTTTTAACTTATGTCATAAAGAGGTGAGTGAGTGAGTTTAGTTTTACGCCGCATTAAGCAATATTCCAGCTATATGTCGGCGGTCTGTAAATAATCGAGTCTGGACCAGACAATCCAGTAATCAGCAGCGTGAGCACCGATCTGCGCAACTGGGAACCAATGACGTGTCAACCAAGTCAGCGAACCTGACAACCAGATCCCGTTAGTTGCCTCTTACGACAAGCATGGGCTACTGAAGGCCAATTCTAACCCGGACCTTCACGGGTCATCATAGAGAATGAGTTTCATCCAGATAAAAGTGTCTCCAGTAACATATGATTCAGGCTCAAAAGTGAATCATATGAAGAGTACCTTTCAAGAAAAGAAGAATTGTTCATTTTATCATGCCAGTTTGCAATTTCATTTTACTCCACAACTAAGGTGAGGTGAAATTGAGTTTTACGTCGTGCTTGAGAATATTTCGTTCATATGACGACGTGCATGCGTGTGTATGTGTATATGTATGTGTATGTGCAGCTGCTTGTACTAGCCCAGACTCAAGCTGGTTTTATAGTGCTAGCCCACTGAGATACCATGCCACAGTGAAGCATGAATACCCTACTCAGACACATTATACTGACTCCAAGCTGACCGGTCCTTGTTGTACCCATTAATGCCGAGTGCCAGGCGAGACCAACAAGTACCATATATTAACGTCTTTTTTACTTTGGGGGCGCGGTGGGCGAGCTGGCTAAAGCGCCAGGCTAGAGATCCAGCGAGGTTGAAGGTGTTGGGATCGAGACCACCTGTGACCCGGTGTAAAAAACCTTGGAGTCAACTCTGTGTGCAGATTCTTTCCGTGTTGTCACAACCCCTAGTGTACAGTACACAACCCTGTGCACTTAAAAGAACCCACGAATCCGTTGGTATATGACCAGATGGTGGCCACATGAATACGTGCAAACACCTAGTTGCATACACCAACGTGCAGTGAACTTGGACAAAGTACTGTGACTATGTGTCCCAGTCCACCCACCTGTGAATTGGGTACCTCGTTAGGATGAGAGAGCCACAATAAACTCGGTGCGCCTAGTGGCAGCAAGAGTTGTATAGTCCCCAGGGAGTTGAGATTGATAACACGATGTGACGTTGAGATTGACATCCAGTGATCGAGGGAAACAAATACCAGCGCTTTGAGCAAGCAATGGTTGCATGGATATGTGCGCCATATAAATATCCTATAATAATAATAATAAATATAATAAAGTATGACGTGGTCGGGGATTGAACCAGCGACCTTCCGCTCTCCGGGCGGATGCTCTAACCACAACACCACGGAGGCGGTCCCACAATTAACACTCATCATGCATGTTTGTGCAAATAGAGAATCTGACCCTTGCGTGTTTTGATGTCACCCACATCAATACAAGTCAATAAAAGTTTAAAATTTGCAGATCAGATTACATGCATACAATATAATCCAAAACCGTTCTTCAGTTTTGAGTGTAAAAGGTATATACAGCCAACCGGTTTCAGTGTCAAAGAGGTTAGTGATGTCATGGTGTTGTCACATTAACTGATGTTATCATGTGTTATGCCACAATGGTCAGGTTATACAATTTCATTGTAGCGACATATCTTTAGGAAGCCAGTTTTGAATGATGAAAAAATCTTTGAAAGGCATTTAGAAGTGATACACTTAACAGGTTTAAATTAACAGATGTCAAATTCTGAGGAACAGGATATTGCGGAATATATTTTTACTCCTTCCACCTGATGTTGAGGAACATATAGTATGAGAAAACATTGTGCTCTTCATAATACAGTTTGCATGATTTCTTCTACTCACTTGAGAGCCAGACTGACAAAGGCTTTGAAGTGGGAATCTTCAGTCCTCTTGAGAGGCGTGTGCGATGTGATGACCGTGTCTATAGCACCAAGCAGGGTCTGTTTAGCTGTGATAGGCTTCCCTCCCACAATGTTCAGGTGAAAGGACTGAGACAGTTTCCTTGCAGGTGACTCGTTGTACTCTCGCCCATGCTGGAAAATAGCAAACAACACTTAAATTAAACATTTGTTATCATGATTAACTAATCATCAAACTTGAGTTAGTTCATAATGAAATGGTACTGTGGCATTGTTAACCAACTGGGTAAGATTACAGAATACCGGATACCTTCCTAACTCCTAGGGTTAGGGTAAGGTTTAGGGTTAGGGTTAGGGCACGGTTTAGGGTTAAAGTAAGGTTTAGGGTTAAAGTAAGGTTTAGGGTTAGGGTTAGGGTAAGGTTTAGGGTTAGGGATAGCGTTACAGTTAGATAGACGTGACATTAACAATATGGTTGGCATTAACACACAATATGGTTGGCATGTATCCGGTATTCTGTAAGTGTACCACCAACTGTTCTAGGTAAAACATGTGGGCGTTTTTTTTAATAAAACTTGTCCTGGTGTGATAAGGAAATGATTCACTTACACTTTCCTCCATTGTTCTTATTTTACCTTATCCTGACTCATACGCTATTGCAATTAATGTGAGTCAGGATAAGTATAAATGATATTTTATTTTGAGAAGAGTTCTAAAAATACATGAATGAATTGAGTTTAATTCTGTTTTAACAGTGTTTCAAAATGATCAAACCCTTGTCATCTTATAAGAGAGGAAAGTTCAAAGTGATGCAGGACATACACATGTATTATGTCAGTAACAACCAGTAGCATGTGTATAGTCCTGACAGCCTGAGGATCATACTCGAGGGCAAATCTGGAGATCCACAACCTGGAACCTAGTGCACACACACATATCTGTGAATCTAGTTGGAGCATCCTAGGACAACTGACCCATGGAGATCTGGGTTAGAAATCATCTTCAGTAACCCATGCTTGTCATAAGAGCCGACTAATGGGATTGGGTGGTCAGGCTCGCTGACTTGGTTGAAACATGTCATCAAATCCCAATTGGGTAGATCGATGCTCATTCTGTTGATTGGTTCAGACTTGATGAATTACAGACAGCCGCCATATAGCTGAGTGCGGCGTAAAACTAAACTCAATCCCTAAGACAACTAGCTGGATGTTACAGTCACCTTCATTTCGTAGTACTTCAGTAAGAGATCCCACGCATGTAGTGTCTTAGTAGCTCTCTGTGACTTGCCAGAGAAACAGCCAAGTGGAACAACACTTGAACTCTGGCCAATCTGAAACAAAATCACTCTCATCAGAAACTTAACCTGGACATGGTAAAAATAGCTCATCATGAAAGATCTGTTTTGTTAGTTGTTTGTCTCTTCACCGAGTGATATTCCAACTGTATAACATCAGTCCTTAATAAAGGACTGATCTGGATCTGGAACAGTCATCTCTCCATAGACATTACCATTTTGACATTAAACTATACTTGCTAACAAAGGACTGGTCATTTATTACTGAGGTGGGTGAGGTGGGGGTCAGGGTTTTTTGATGCACAACAGTGTGGAATTTGTTTCCCCTTCCTTATTTTTGACAACTCTTGTCATGTCCTTGTTCATTTTCTTTTCACAACCCTCCCCAAATATGTGTGAATGTTTATGACCGATTATCATACTTCTGGTAACCCTCCCATGATTCTCTACTTATCCATGTGTTCCGCTGGTATTAAAATATAGTTGTCTCTACCTCCATCAGCCCATGCTGCATCAGGTCTCGGATTGCCATGGAGAGGTCTCGACGCATTAAAATATAGTTGTCTCTACGCACACACTGTGTCAGGGCTGGACTGCTCACTTTAACAGTCTGTCGAACATTCATGTTACTGGGTCAATACGTTGACAACCGAAACAAAACATGCAGTATCATCAAACTATATTTTACTTTTTACTTATGTTTTCATATCACAAAGTGTAAAAACAGAAAATCTTTGAACACTACTTACTCTTCTAAAATATTTCTCAAGAATCAAAATATTGATTTACACCTATACATTTCATGCATCTTTATAATTTATACAGACATTTTACTATACAGTTGGTCATTGACAACACTATATTTGTATCTGCATCCTGTACATATTTATGAAAACATTTTGGCAGAACAAGATAATGCTGTTTCTGTGGAAAATTATTACAAACTACAATAATTCAAAGAACAGTTATAAAATTCATATGACAACACTGGAAGAACAAACCAACCTCAGAGTCATCTGAATATTCATTCTCACTGTCTGTCTCTAATTCTTCATCCTGTTCTTGAGCCTTTTCTAAAGTCTTATCAATTGCTAACTCCACTTTGGCTCGTAGATCACTGAAACATTCCGAAAAATTGATGTCATTTTAAATACACAAACTCACAAACTGTTAAAGGCCAAGGCCGAACATTAACTGGTGCATGTTCTGAATATAATGTGGCATCTTATTGCTAGGGTCAGTTGATTATCAAAAATCAACAACATATTAACACTTCTTCACAGAAAAGCATGAATAAATGATGTGTTTAATAAGAACTTTTGGTGTGGCTGGTTGATTTTCATATCACAAAATGTGTCGTCAAAAACCTTTAAGATGTCACAGTAATGATAACTTTCCACTGAAATGGAATGATGACCTGCTGGATATCATGTTATCTGTATCTTATCACAAGGACCGGGTGAGCTATATATTTGTCATCCTCTTACCCCCAGTGATTTCCCTTGGCTGTTTTCTTCAACAGGTTGCGTTTAAATTCCCGACTGCCACATCCAAGCTGACTGATAATATAGATCTGCAGCATTGTCAGTGCTTTCCTCATCAGTGATGCTGTTGACTCATTCAGATGCTGGAGGATAAAGATTGGGTCGGTTATGGTCTGTCTCTCTGGGTTTCCCAAAAACTGATCTTGATCAGTAGTCAGTTTATACAATGTTGTCATTACACATGCGGGACAACCAAACCTCACTGACATTGACTACACTTGATATTATTATGATTAGCACCTATTTTTTTTACTGTCAAGAGTACTTCAATCAAGTACCCGTGAAGAACCGGGTTAGAATTGGTCTTCAGCAACCCATACTTGTCGTAAGAGGCGACTGACGGGATCAGGAGGTCAGGCTCGCTGACTTGGTTGACACATGTCATAGTATCCCAATTGCATTGATCGATGCTCATGCTGTTGATCACTGGATTGTCTGGTCCAGACTGGATTATTTACAGATGTCTGTGAAATAGCTGGAATACTGCTGTGTGCAGCGTTTAACAAGTGAGTGAGTGAGTGAGTGAGTGAGTGAGTGAGTGAGTGAGTGAGTGAGTGAGTATGATCTTAAGCTACTTTAAGCAATATTCCAGAATATCACAATGGGGGACACCAGAAATGATCTTCACACATTGTGCCCATGTTGGGAATCCAACCCGGATCTTCAGCATGACAAGCAAATGCATTAACCACGAGGCTACCCCGCCACATCTCCTCAGAAAGAAGTAACCATGGCAACATGTCAAGGTGTGATAGGTAACATTATCACCTTTTGATTCTTTGGAGCTGTGAACTTGTTTTTATGCTGCGGATCGCAGCATTCCTTAGCGCTGTCTGACGTATCATCTGATCCCTGGAAATTAAACTTAAACATGCAAAAGCATGAAATATCATTTAATGATTTTTTGAAAATCCAAAATTTTATTAAATGTTCATGAACATGTAAGGCCTTATCTACAAAAAATAACAAACATTTCAATGAATACAATAATTCCCAATAATTATATGTCTTCAGTTACTGCAAACAGCATTTTGCAAGATATCACAAATTGTTTTAAGTCTTTTCAGTAAAATGCAAATGCCTAAACATTAAGAGCAAATGTACAAGACATGAAAAACATTTGAATGAATCTCATAATTGCCAATAATAATGATTCTTATGTTATTGTAACTGTATTTTAGAATATAATACAAAATTTGTTTAATTATTTTCAGTGACAATTTTCATTACTGCTTGAACAGTTACCTTATGCACAGGACAGAAACATCTCTCCTTCCCAAGAGGACCAGGGCTGCTTGCTTCCCCTGTACAAGATGTAAGATTGAGTTAAAGAGCATAGAGTCACATCAATCTCATATCTGGAATCACAGTGGTTCGAATGTGTTGGGTAAGTGAGTGTATGAGCTTGGAGCAGTATTTCTTCTCATAGCAATCATTATCAGAGTATGTGATCTGAATGTGGTGGAAACCCAAATATAGGTCTATTAACCACTATTGGTGAATACCGCCAGCATGGTAGTTAAAGTGACAGACAAATCTGTGGAACAGGGCAAATCTGTGGATATTGTGCCCTGTGTCTAAGCAATGATTTGTAAGTGTCTCTATGAAATAACTTTCCAGACCAATGAAAGATGCTTGAATGAAATTGACTGTTAAGACTTCAGCCAAAGTTTGAAACAAAGTAATCATTAAAAGTAATAATAAACCTTGACTGTCTATGTGTTTCCGCTTTAACATTTTGATCTAAGATACCCATAAACTGAATTTGAAATACTTTTAATGTAGTTATTTGTTTATTCATTTCTATATTAATAACCTCTCCAAAAAACTACATAGACACTTTACAAATAACGTTTTAGCATTTACCTTTAGGGTCCTGATGAACACCCTAGACCTTCATTGTTTATTTTGAATGCTATAAATGTACAATAAAACTCATATATATATATATATATACACACATATGTAATATATATTTCCATGTCTGCATGTTTAGCACTACATTTCTAGAGATGTAGTGTTGTGTTAAACTAAAGAGTGTGACTGATGAAGGCTGAGAGATCAAAAGTTTGAGAATATATATGTATATATTTGTCCTACCTTGCAGGAACTGTATGAACCTCTCAAGGTCTGTGATTTGTGTCTTCAGCTGGTCTACCAGCTTCTCCTTCACCTTGGCTGGATTCACAATCTGAAAATCATCATACATACAATACCACTGGTCAAAGCCCATGACCCCTAACTCATATTTTACGTTCACTGAGATCATCTATGAACTTCTGAGTAACTTGTATGGACTTAGATCACTGAATTTCTGTTCAAAAAACATTCTAAAGGCACTTGCAGATATATTCAAGCTCAAAATTAGTCCTATTTTCCCTAATGTAAATGTGGCATCTCATAGCAGAACTCACCTGTCCAATTGCATGGTCCACAACTTGTCTCAGCTCTTCAGTGCTGGAAACACAATACACCTGTACGGTCAGATCTGGGATACACTGACATGTACTGCACACATAGACACTGATTTTTTGTTCTGCCAAAGCATGTGAATTTAATATTTAACATTAAGGTCATGAGAAAGCTCCATGACTTGCATGACTAATTTCCAATACTTTTTACAGGGATGGCAACAGGAAAATCTATTTTCAGCTGAAAACTTAATATTGTGTCATCGAATGGGGTTGTGTGTGTGTGTGTGTGTGTGTGTGTGTGTGTGTGTGTGTGTGTGTGAGTGGTTTCTCAACAGATTTAGACAACTGATTTAGACAATTGATCACACAATTGATCAATTTGAAATAAAATTGGCAGAAATCCGCTGATGTTTTACTGGCACACTGCAGCCATAGTGCTCACGGCATCCAAGCTTCCTACCTGAGTCTGTCAAAGTTCTGTAGGTCAAGGTCCAGTTTGTGCTTCAGTTCATCAATTACAACTCTCTGTTTCTCCATCAGCTGGTTGGTTGGCATCACTTCCTTGTCCCCAGTCTGTAACATCCAGAAGAAGCTGCACCACATAGCTATATTTAGAGCTGCACCACATAGCTATATTTAGAGTATATCTACCATGTGTAATTGTGCAGTTCTGTTCTGTTGGTACCATCTTATATTTTAGAACTTCCCATTCTAATCTCCCAATGACCAAAAGAAATATTTCTTCAGCACTTTCCTCATAAGCAATGAAGAATAACTTTCCATTATGAGTGAGTGAAAGGGTTAATGCCACTTTGAACAGTATTCCATTTATATATTGATGTGTCAGTCTCATGTGGGAGGAAAGCCCAAATGTGATGCAGGACTAAGATGTTTACTACTTTGATGAAACTGATGAACACTAACAAACCTAGAAACATAATTGTTGAACCAGGTTTTGTACACACAAGCAATGGTGTCATCACATGCCAAAGGGACACAACTCTGCAATCAGTTATTGTGGTGCCTCAGATGATCATGTCCATTATTATGAACATAGGTGACAGTAATATCTTTGACCATTATACTGGTCTGCACTGGTCTTACATGATTTGTTAGATTTACGAATTTAGTTATAAATGAATGCATTGAACATGAATAAATTGGTCTTAATTGATAGTGGCCTCCCTGTCTTCACAGATACACTGCCCACCTCATAAGCATATGTCTCCAGGTCCTCGAGCTGTGACTTGAGCTGCTGGATCAGCTCTCTCTGCTTCTCCCTCTGCTCCGATATCTTTATCTCATGCTCCTTGTCACTCTACAACAAACAAGAACATCAGACTCAGCAGACTCTGCTTGTGTAAGACTCCAATGTACTGATTATATTGCATGGAACTTGGTCCCCAGGCTATTTTAGCAATGGTATTCCTTGTTTGCTGTTTATAAAGATCTGCAACCTAAATGCCTGGCTTAAATTATCAAGAAATCAAACAGAATCAAAGAATACTCCCCTTGCCCTGGTTTCATAAACTGTTATAAGCCATATTTATGAATACTAAATGTGCATCTATTCACTTGATAGATCGAGATGTCAGCATCCCTTTGTGGGTAAGGCAGCTATTGACTGTTGCCTTAGACACTGATCCTTCAGCATAGAACCATCTAAACCAAATAATCCTGAATGTTTACGTCATGTACGTACCATCTCCTCCAGGATCTGAGCATCCTGCACCTTGCAGCCTCTCACATCTGGGATTCCCTTGAAGGCAAACTCCTCAAGCTCCTTCAGCAGGTTCTGTATCAGTGAAAACAGGTAGTGATTGACCATGTATGTAATATTGATTAGACAGCATATGTTGAAAAGGTACTCAGCATTATGGTATTGTCATTATGTAATGGTAACAGCTGTATTTACTTTTTCTGTTTGTCAATAAGTCTACCTAATGTAGTTCATGAACTGGCTAGCTAATAAGTTTGTTTACAACTTCCTACTACTGTGGGACAGCCTAGTGGTTAAAGCATTTGCTTGTCACACCAAAGACCTGGGTTAGATTCCCCACATGGGTACAATGTGTGAAGCCCATTTCTGGTGTCCCCTACCGTGATATTGCTGGAATATACACTCACTCACTCTTACTGCTGTACATACCTCCCTGTCATCTGGAGCTGCTGTGACGATCTGTTTGAGTCGGAACTGGACCTGGGCGAAGTGGGTAGTGAGAGCCAATAGGGAGGAGTTGAGCTGCTCCTGTTCCTCCTCCAAGGTTTTCAGCTGTTCTGTCTCAGACATGTGGCTGCAAAGAGGTGATGTGAAATGTGGTTTAACGTCACGGTCAGGATTATTATGTGTGTGTGCATGTGTGCATTGAACACTGCTCCCTCTGTGGAATGGTAAAGAAGTGAGAGTTACCTCAGGAGCATGTAGGTGGTCTTAGATACTACAATACTAAGTGTTCATTCATGGAAAAACCATAATAACTCAAGAGAGTTACTAATAAACTATTATCCCATATCACTTAGAAATCAGTACCATGTTTGGTAATCTCTAAAAACTGCAGCATTTTTTTTGTCTTTTGGAGATGACAGGACTACTGAATCTACAGATCCTTCATTCAAGATCAAGTACTAGTGTACACAGTAATCATTACTGTGATTACTGTCAACAGGCATTGAAATGAAGCTCAATATAAACCCCTGATACAAGGGTAAAAGTAATTTGTGCTGGAATCCCCTCAGTGGAGTGCTTCTTGGAAGGGGGAGTATTCAAAATATCTCCACAGACTTAACAATGAAGATTGGACATATACCACACAAACAGCATTCTAGCATTGTCCATGTCATCCAGATCGGTTGAATATATAATTAAGAATAAGAAAGTGGTCCACTTATCAACATTGTATATTTAAACATACTCGGAAACATCCAAGTGTTCATGTGGTCATTATGAAGGAGACGTTATTCACTATCTTTTCACATGTCAGAATTTAAGAATAACTACGTATTTTTATATTCAAGGATATGATGTTAAAACTACTCTATACGGTAATGACACATTGAATAACTCAACTAATAGTAACATTCTCAACTCATTACACCAGTTCATTTCTAAAAGTAACGGCTTCCAGTGATTATCACCACTACATATAGATTCAATGTACCCCAAGTTTATATAATTGGATTTTCTGCTGCAGCTCATTTCGTTGCTTGGCATATCCAACACCATAATGAACATATTCAATATTCAACGATATATATCAGATACAATGAATAATGTTCTCTCAATATTATTCTTTTGTTACTAAATTATTTCATTTATGTATCCAGCTCTTGAAATAATGTACTGGAGCGGGTTCATATAAGCCACTCGGCTTGTTTGCCTATCGAGGTTTCAGTTTTTGTGAAATAAAAATATGTTTTAAACTACATACTGAAATAACAATATGTTTAAACTACATACTCAATGGACATCAAACTCAAAACACATCATTTATGGTGTCCCCCACTGTGATATTGCTAGAATATTGCTGAAAGCTGCGTAAATCCAAACTCACTCACTCTGTAAGCTCACATAATCTGACTTAGGCAAGGTCACCAATCAACTCTAATGTATGTCTAATTTATTTAATTTGGGTCACACAATTAAGTCAAGAGGAAATGTGAATTAAGAAGAAGAAAGAAAATGAATTTGTGATATGTGTAAAGTATTTTCCAAAGCTGTTGAATACTGCATTTCATATAAAAAGTTCTAAATATTTTTTTCCACAGATATATATATGTCTAGCTAACTACCTCCATTCATGTGATCACCAAGGAATGCAGACAGGCGTTTTTGACTGATCAGATTTCATTCTAAGTATTTGTTGCATTAGGATGTAAGTGGTTTTGGTCAAGGTTGCTACCCCTTGTTGCCTTTATCATGTTTATTTTATCAAGAAGTCAAGCATAGTAACAGTGCTAACGAACTATACAGTTATGGAAAGAGGTGTCATGTTCGTTAACAGCTGGCTGTAGCAATACAAAACAATACTAACGACGGGGTAGTAGTGCCTGCTGAGGGAATTTAACTGATAATTAGGCAAGTCTTGTCTCATGGGGACAGCGATATGGATTCATCTGGAACAGTTCAAATAGCCTTGCTACATTGTCATAGCTCTAAGTAAAGGTAGTTCTATGCTTGCATAGTCAGCATTGTAAGCATTGTAAATTCACTCTCACCTTGTCTCAACACCAATGCCATTATTACTGATCTTGTCCCTCAAACATTACTGACCTGGTCCCTCAGACATTACTAACATGGTCCCACAGACATTACTGACCTGGTATCTCAGACATTATTGGCCTGGTCCCACAGACATTACTGACATGGTCCCACAGACATTACTGACATGGTATCTCAGACATTACTGGCCTGGTCCCACAGACATTACTAATCTGGTCCCACAGACATTACTGACATGGTCCCACAGACATTACTAACCTGGTCCCTCAGACATTACTAACATGGTCCCTCAGACATTACTGACATTACTGACCTGGTCCCTCAGACATCACTGACATTACTGATCTGGTCCCTCAGACATTACTAACATGGTCCCTCAGACATCACTGACATTACTAACATGGTCCCGTAGACATTACTAACATGGTCCCTCAGACATTACTGACATGGTCCCACAGACATTGCTAACCTGGTCCCTCAGACATCACTGACATTACTGACCTGGTCCCTCAGACATTACTAACATGGTCCCTCAGACATTACTGACCTGGTCCCACAGACATTACTAACCTGGTCCCTCAGACATCACTGACATTACTAACATGGTCCCGCAGACATTACTGACATGGTCCCTCAGACATCACTGACATTACTGACCTGGTCCCACAGACATTACTAACCTGGTCCCTCAGACATCACTGACATTACTGACCTGGTCCCTCAGACATTACTAACATGGTCCCACAGACATTACTAAGATGGTCCCTCAGACATTACTGACCTGGTCCCACAGACATTACTGACCTGGTCCCAAAGACATTACTGACCTGGTCCCTCAGACATTACTGACCTGGTATATCAGACATTACTGACCTGGTTCCACAGACATTCCTGGCCTGGTCCCACAGACATTCCTGACCTGGTCCTTCAGACATTACTAACATGGTCCCACAGGCATTACTAATCTGGTCCCACAGACATTACTAACATGGTCCCACAGGCATTACTAATCTGGTCCTTCAGACATTACTAACCTGCACCCTCAGACATTACTAACATGGTCCCACAGGCATTGGTAACATGGTTCTTCAGACATTACTGAAATGGTCCCTCAAACATTACTAACCTGTCCTCAAACGTCAATGCTACTGATCTGGTCTGTAACTGCATTACTACTTACCTGGATTCTAATGGTGATGGTGTAGGGCTGACAGCAGCTCCTAGGGGTGCCCATCTCTCGGCAGGCCGGTCGTAGTTTTGCTCATCAAAACTGTCATAGTCAACAGTGTCCTCAGTGACGACACTTGTCTCCTGCATCATCTTGCTGGGAAGGGGGATTTCAAGATCTGGAAAAAACCCAAACCCATAAGTATCCTGACTGTAACAGTAACCTGTACATAACAGCAATAAAGCTGATCACCACATGGGTCTGAGGAATCTGAACACTGAATCCTAATTCTTTCACCAGGCTTTTAACATGAACATACATTTTTTTTTCTATCATTTAACATCAATCCTGATTTGAGTTGGTCTTCAGCAACCCATGCTTGTTGTAAGAGTTGCCTTATAGGAATGGGTGGTCAGATTCCCTGAGTTGGTGATCCATGTCATCGCACCCCAGTGATATAGATCGATATGACATCAATTACTGTGGGTCAACTAAGCTGTACACAACTAACAAACCACTGAATATCAACTCCCAAAATTACAATTTTCTAACATTTAATTATTAGTGTGATGAAGAAAGTCTCCCTGTAACATGCTTTACCAAACTCCTTTGATAAAACAATACATAATATTGCTCCAGATTCATCAGACTTGACAAATTTAATCACAGCTGGTGTGACCAGATCCTGTTAATGACCTTGACCTATACAGTATTTACTACATGTCCAGCAATATACAAGGCACTCAGCTGGACCAGCTGCCAAATGGATATCCTTTCTGTCTGTCAATAGCAGCATTCAGACAACCATAATGAACGTACATTGTACTTGCAAGTGGCAGTCTTCTCCCACATACACATTATCTACAAGTAATGGCAGCTGCTTGAACTGCTTCAAAGACAGACCCAAGGACAAATTGTGTTGTCTGTATTAAAATGACATTTACATGAACTACATCAAACGTATCCACATTTCTGAACTTTGGTCTGTCTAGACATCTCTGTAGATGAAGCAAAAGAACCTTTGTAGTAAAATGTCATCATGAAATACAATATATATTATTTAATTGATCAAGTCATCCAAAATAATGTGTTTGTTTCTTTACATGAAGATCTGGGTTTGATTCCTAACACTGGTACCGCTTGCGAGAAAATTGGGAAAGAAACTCATTTTCTTTTTAAACTGGTATCTCTTTAAAATTCTTCTGTTCTAAAATTCAGAGGTATTTCAGGTAAAAACGGAATGGAAAATAATGAAGATCAAGGATGTAAAAAAGACTATCCTCATCCCTTTACATATATATATGACAGCCATATTGTACACTTAGCTGTATTGTGTAGTGGTACAAGGGATTACATTTGTGGGCGGCGGTAATTCCACACCATTCTATCGGCAGCTCACCATATTAGATGGCTCGTAATGGAAACCAAGCATGATAATTGTAATAATTATCTACTGATGTATTACAATAGCATGTTCACTTCCTGACCGTGCATTTAACAATCTCTACTGGTGTATCACACAGCATGTTTAATTCCTGACCTTGTATTCAACAATCTCTACTGGTGTATCACACAGCATGTTTAATTCCTGACCTTGTATTCAACAATCTCTGCTGGTGTATCACACAGCATGTTTAATTCCTGACCTTGTATTCAACAATCTCTGCTGGTGTATCACACAGCATGTTTAATTCCTGACCTTGTATTCAACAATCTCTGCTGGTGTATCACACAGCATGTTTAATTCCTGACCTTGTATTCTTGCTGGTGTATCACACAGCATGTTTAATTCTGACCTTGTATTCAACAATCTCTGCTGGTGTATCACACAGCATGTTTAATTCCTGACATTGTATTCAACAATCTCTGCTGGTGTATCACATAGCATGTTTAATTCCTGACCTTGTATCCAACAATCTCTGCTGGTGTATCACACAGCATGTTTAATTCCTGACATTGTATTCAACGATCCTTGCTGGTGTATCACATAGCATGTTTAATTCCTGACCTTGTATTCAACAATCTCTACTGGTGTATCACATAGCATGTTTAATTCCTGACATTGTATTCAACAATCCTTGCTGGTGTATCACATAGCATGTTTAATTCCTGACATTGTATTCAACAATCTCTGCTGGTGTATCACACAGCATGTTTAATTCCTGACATTGTATTCAACAATCTTGCTGGTGTATCACATAGCATGTTTAATTCCTGACCTTGTATTCAACAATCTCTGCTGGTGTATCACACAGCATGTTTAATTCCCGACCTTGTATTCAACAATCTCTACTGGTGTATCACACAGCATGTTTAATTCCTGACATTGTATTCAACGATCCTTGCTGATGTATCACATAGCATGTTTAATTCCTGACCTTGTATTCAACAATCTCTGCTGGCGTACCACATAACATGTTTAATTCCTGACATTGTATTCAACAATCTCTACTGGTGCTGATTCATGGTATAGGTCTACCGTATAGGGTCGGTGGGGTAGCCTAGTGGTTAAAGCTTTTGCTCGTCACACCGAAGACTCAGGTTTAATTCCCCACATGGGTATAATGAGTGAAGCCCATTTCTGGTGTCCCCTGCCGTAATATTGCTGGAATATTGCTCATGGTATAGGCAGAGGCAGTGGAGGTCCCTGTGACCAACAGATGGTCGGTCATCATACTTCACATGTTCCAGATGTCATTCTCATTATTCCCATTATCTGATTATAAGGATAGATATGTCACAAACTGATAATGCAAACATAACTGTTATAGAAGCCAAGTGCATAGCAATATAAACTGTTACAGTATGCTATTTTCCATGTCAAAGTCTTACAATATTTACACAATATAATTACAGAACTGTCTCACTGACATGTTTGCCGTCAGTTCAAACCTCCAAACAGGACTTCAATTACTTCAAAGAAACAAATTTCTTGACCACAATAAAGAAGAAGCCAACACTGATTAGAGAAATTTTAAAAAACAAACAGGTTTCTTGACCCCAGAAAAAGTCCTGAAAATAAAATCAAATCTTGCATGACTGAACATGAAGAAAATCAGAAGTTGATAGGAAAAACAATACCCATTATAATGATTATAACCATTATTAATGATGAAATGCACCCACCTTCATCTCTCTCTAAAACTTTGTTAACGCAAAACTACAAAATCCTTACCACAATGTGTATCTCAGAGAGCCGCACACAACCACACTTAATACCGGTAATCCCGAGCCAGATACAAGATGTGCCCGATATACCGACAATAACGCACGGTATGTTTTGAAATCAAACCACAGATAAACAGCTGTGCACACCTTAACCCCAGACAAGGACACAGGAAGCCAAAGATATGTGCGACATCAGGCACACAGCTAGAATCCATGCACTTATACATCCCAGTACACGGCAGTTACTATAGTCCACACAAGATCTTCTAATCAATAGAGTATATATATGTGCAGGCCTACATCACTTCCCAGATGGGACCTTCACAGTCATAACTAAAACTCATGAGGATAAATTCAATTTATTCAAGGTCTGCATGTTTGGTATTGATCAGGACTTCTGATGCTATTTTCATAGGTGTTTATGACTTTCTCCACCTTGACGTACTATCCTGAGTTGTTTACAGTGAAACTAATAATAGGACAGCCTTTCAGGTGTGCTGTTGGTTGATTACATAATACTTGAGGCTGATATGGAAACTATATCATCTGCATCATGGTGGTCTTGTCATCATTGGACCAGATCGATTAAGTACTTGTTCTACTTTTATAGTGTGAATGCAAACATTTTCAATCATCACTGCCACTTTAATTCATATTGACCAACTGACAGATGTTCAACCTTGATCAGTGTGCATCCATCTGACCCAGTCAAGGAAATGTTCTCAAGGATAAGTGAAATTATTGTTATTTTTGGGTATTACTGTTTCGGCCTCCATTTGAAAACGTTAATCTTGTATATACTCGACAAACAACTAGAACAATAATTCATTGAAGTTTACCAGCATTATTATTACTTTCATATTCATATTCATGAATGGATAACTACTTATTATGAATATCAACAGAACATAACGAATCAACATTTTCTGTTCAGGAAAATTGAAGATTACCTAGTATTTAAAGCATTATGATGACAACAGATTGTTGATTTTGCAGTTGATTCTGAAGCAAGAATTCACTGGCCATGAACCAAGAAACATCAACATCAACAAACATTCAACCACGAAAATCTGAGGTTACTATAGGTCATTGTGGAAAATTATAGACAGGCTACATATCAACCATAACCAGGTATAAGTCTGAGAAACCTCCTGAAGGAGAAACAACAGATTTCATTACTTCCCCAGTACAAATTTTGTATCTGTTGTTTGTGTTGACTGCTCAATAGATACTGGTCAAACATCAAGTCGCTGTGACAATGTCAAGATGAGTTTAAAATACTGACAAATATAATTTTCCTTCAGAGTGTGTTTGTCACCTAACACTTCAACTGGCAATATTCCAGCTACACAGAATACTCAGATAGCATAGGTTGCTTGGAATCTATTTTAACCTGGAATCCTGATAGTGTTGGCCCAAGTAAATTCATTTTAAACATGTTACCATCATAACTTGGACCATGGTAATCAAATTATTAGAGCAGGGACTTATCCAAGACTCCAAACTAAGTGCAGGGTTATACGGGAAGCAAGATTCCTGCGTATTGGACGCAGACATTTGGTGAAGTACCCCCAAACTAAAATCCTGTGCGTCCTTGTGGACGCAATATAATTTTTTTCTGGGAAAGAACTTTCTGAGTTTGTAATGAGATCCCATATTAAAATATAAACATTCTATTTACAATCATTATTCTAATGACATTGAAAGTAACACATATCTTAACATAATCATTATCAAATGGGAAGCATTCATTATCATTGATTTAATGCAAATTGATGGACCCCCAATTTTGGAAATGGACTCTCAAAAGAAAATGCCCTGAGTCCCCAGGACTCCCAGTTTTGAAGAGCTATGTAAAAGCCTGTAAGTGCCCTGGGAACAAAATGTGGAAAAAATAATAAGTTAACACAAACCTGGAATTTTCTCAAAAATAACCTGCAGATTTTCTTAACATCAGGGGTATTTGATTATTTACAGACAATCATCATATAGCTGGAATATTGCTGAGTG